GTGAAGGGGCGTGTTGGTTTAAACTCTGATTTGCTCTGTGCGAAGAAAGAGCAATGGAATTGTCAACGGCGTACCATTGTAATTATCATCAGGAACTTGTGGTATGCATATGTTGTTGACATTTAATGTTGTTGTATATTATTTACGAAATCTTCCACTTTACTGTTATCAATTTTCGTATATTTAGTTTTGCACACATGCAAGATGTGATCTATTGTGTTTCGAAAGATCGATTCTAACAAATTATGATTCTTAATTGCAATATTATTTCTGATCTCCTTATTGTATTAACAAAATGTGCTGATGTTGGTTATGGCGGTGATGTTGCTGATAGTATTTCTTTTGCGATTTAAAACTGATGTGGTGGAATGTTGTAGAACATGTGAGATTGTGATTTTTTACCATTTTTGTTGTTTGAATTACATTGTTTTGTGTTTGCAGCGACTTAGATTGTCATTGTGGTATATATGTTAGTTGGCATTAAAATACCTCATCTTAGGGATTCGTTTGTATTGATACCTGGCGTTTGCTGACTAACATTGCTTTATTTATTCGAATTTGGGGAGCTAGTTTTACCATATTGTTGCTGAGGTGTTGATTTTTCACAGTTGATAACATTTGTAAGTGTTATAATTTTCATGTTGCTGCAACCATTTCAATCGCAACGGAATACTAGATTTAATATGGATCATTTTTAACAAATAATATTTAAAACGCTTCCTAAAATGACTGACATTTGTGTATACTGTATTATGTACAGTCAAATAGTTTTCTACCTTATAAGAATAACCCACAAGTCCTAGTTTTAAAATTTAAGTTTGGCTCGTGTTTTAATGTTTGGGCTTAAATACCTTAGTTTCAAATATATTGGCGGATTTTTCGGTCATAGTTTTTCACCTGTATAAATGTCTCGGAATTTATTCCTTTGTTTATCTGAAAGGAAAATCATGAAAAATTGTTATAAATTTATAATTTTCATCATGTACATATTTATATATTTACATATGTATGTATGTATAACGTTGTAATAATGGTGTTTGGAATATGCATGAACTCGCGATTTATAAGGGAATACAACAAGAAAACTTAATATGGGATTTTAAAGTTTAGTACTTGGAAGTACTATTAGTTAGTTTAATATACAAATTTGAAGAGTAAAGGATTGCAATTATATGTACAAGAAATTAATCAGCAATAGTATTATAGCTTTATTTTTCATGTTGTTACTTGTAATTAAATGATTACAATCATTATATTATTTAAAGTTGAAATCCATAACACGTTTAAATGATACCATAAGATATATTTTAATGTAAATAAAAAAAAATTCATTAAAATTTAAATCAAATACCTCATGAGCCAAACGTAACTGCACTTCCATTAATCGCCATATTCTAACGGCTCTTTAAAAACTGCAATTCACCGATTATTATACATCTACTGAAGTCCCGCTTTTTATTTCGAGACGACTTTCAATATTTACACAATAAGGAATTTAAACGGTAACTTTCTGAATGTGGTTCTGTTGTTATACGAAACCTTGAAAAACAGATTATATTTACATCCAAAATTCACTACATTTTAAACCAAATTTCATTGATTGCCATTATGGTTCTGCACACATCTACATACAGCGGCTCCACAGTACCGGCAAGAAATTAGCTTTTTCTTAACGTCAGGCGGTTTCAAAATAATGCACTTTGATAACTATTTCTTTTTTTGAATTTGCTAATTTCTTTAAATATCTTGTCCGCGCTGATGGGAATTGTGCAATTAACTCTTGCGATTTTCCACTCGATTCCGTTTTCCTTCTTTCCGCGTGTGACTTCTCAAATGTTGTTGTCAGAGTTTGTTTTTATAAATTGCTTCAACCTGCAGGGTTGCTCAGATAGTTCTCATTATATAATCTTTATTACTTCATAAAAATATTATGTATAGGAGAAAGTTTGAGGCGTAACGTAAATAATGAAAAAATAGTTTTTATTAACAATTAATATAAAAGTTTGACAGATAGCAATTGTTTATTCCTGATTCATAAACACTGCGTTCCGATTGTTAAAAAATTTAATCCATCTCCCATCGTATATATCAATATCAAATAATAGAATATTTAAATATGTATATGGATCATGAGGGAATTATCATCATAGTAATTGAATGCAATGATCTGAGTGGATAATAATAATTTTCTATATGTTGTGATGAGACTATTGAACGGCTCTTTACTTTAAAACGAATCTAAATAAAAAGTACGTACGGCAACATTTTTAATTTGCATCAGCTGTTCTTTCATAACCTGTTCAATAGGCAATCTGGTTGTGAAAATTATTTATATTGGAATAGTTTGTGATAAAATGTTAAGTTTAGGTATAAGGTGGGAAACGTGTAGAAACTACAGATACTTTGTACGTCGCCTTGCCTTACATCTCGATTACAGTCAACAGTAGCAACATCGACCAAAGCAAGCTATGCACGCGATAACACCGAGTATACTGATGAGCCAATTTATCCCGAAATACAGGATTTATCATTTAAAGCATGCAAAGGGCGTGAAACTGAAAGTTGGCATGAAGAATACGCAAAGTACCAACCGTGGAAGAGAAGCTAATCAAAAATTAACATGCCTCGTTATTATGGATTCAAAGTTGTAATTTGAGTGACTCGAAAGTGCCTTAAAAACTGTTTGCCTGCCATGCAGCACTACACTCGCACCATTTACGAGGATATTAAGATTAAAGATCCTTTACAAGGAACCGCTCAAACGATGATCAAAAATTGATGTATATACTGAATTAATTAAATCTGATATCAAAAGAAGCAATTGAATTTGTACACGATTATTTTAGGTAGTTGTGTAAACATCGTATTTTTTTTTTTAAATAAGTAATTTTCTAGTAATGCATATCCAGATGCAGGAATATGGAACCACAGGAAAGGAAAAACATATTCGGCCGACTTATTGTTGAACAAGTAAACCGAACACTAATTAATGTATTGTCAAGTGATTTTCTTCATCTCCAAGAATCAGAAATTGATTACAGTCCAAGACACGAAGCTTTTTGGTCAGTGGGTGGATAAATCCTCCAAAACGTTGTGAAGAGTAAACTGGTCGTAAATGGCAGAAGAAATGGCAAACGATCCTACAACCGCCTTCATGCAATATTCAGGAAAGCCTTTTCTTGCAATACGCCATCGAAACCAACTAACTCCATGGAAAAACGAGTCGGAATCAACAAATATCGAATTAGCGAAAACTTTACCACGTTTTAACTATGATCCACGTACCCTAGGATATGCTGTAGTCATCAACACCTAACAAGTATTCCAGAGTGAACAAAAAACTATCAGTTTTTTGGATAAATAAAAAATTTGTTTATGTTAAGGGTTCTGGCCTGGCAGCGGCAAATCTATTTGGGAGCATTTTTATCAGTCTCGAGCTTTCTGCAAATAAGACCAGATACATACGGAGTGAAGATTTCAAAGAGGCTTTACACTCTCATGCACATTCAAAGTAGTTATTCTTGGTTATTAGGAAAGCTGGTTACAACGGATTTAATACCTTTAATGATCTTACCTATCCAATGAATACACAAACCGTTGTAACAAATGACGTGATTGTCATTTTACGAATACCAGTTAAACACGTTACTTGTACACTCACATCATGTAGATGATAATGAAAGTTAATTTTTGCCAAGGAACTGCTGAGATGAGGCTATTTGGTGAAATAAATAGTTCTGGTGAAGTTGTGATTTTAACGAGGATGTCTTGCGATATCTTATACGCTTTATATAAATGCACCGCAGATCCATAGATCTGCAAGAGAACTACATCCCTATTTGGGATCAGATGTTAAGTATATAGCTGATTATGAAAATGCGGAGAAGCGCGAATTTTTAGAACGTGTTTTTAAAAATTTAATGTCCAATCGACTCGACATTTAGCTTCCTGAAATCTATCTTTGGGAAAAGATTTATAAAATTGATAACAAAACGAGAGTCATGGAGCCAAACGTCGCTTCTTTGAGTTAGGCATAAATCCATGGTTGCGAAAATTGGATCAACATCAAAAGGAGACATACAGAGCATTGCGACCAGAAGGCCCCAAGAGTAAAAAGAAGTGGAAGGAGAGTTTTATCCATGAATTGTAAATTAATTGTATACGAAATCATTGTTTATAAACTTTCCGAACTCAACAAAGTTTGCTTTAAGCCGTCTATCGATTATACTATGTTCATGCTATAAATATATTCTACTTTTATCGGTAAGTATAATTGTATTAATCGAATAAAAGGTACGAACATTTAGTTACAATCGTTGTATTCAGACCTCACTCCCCATAATACAATCATATATCTACATTCGTAATTCACCTAACGTAGTTCCGGATGACGAGCACGCCTGCTGTTGCTCGCTTCATTTCAGATGAAAGAATCGCGGGAATCCGACGCTCACGCCAGGCTCATCCCTATGGTGTTTACAGATTTGGCACAACAGCCGGTTCTGCGATACCGGATCACGATTGTTACCCGACGGCTGCGCAAATGCCAAAAGACTGCGCACCACTTACCTTCACCGATGGGGAGGTTCAGAGTGTCATCAAAAGGCGAAATCGTCTAAATCGATCGGCCCTGACGGAATAAGCATGCTGATGTTAAACATCTAGGCCCAAGGAGTAAACTACCTCACCAAGGTCTCAACCTGTCGATATCCACTCTTCAAATACCCGATGTGTGGAAAGTCGGAAGAGTGGTCCCACTGCTGAAACCGGGAAACCGCCAACAAAGGGAGTCTTATCGCCCGATAACTCTCCTTTCCCAGTAGTGAAGACACTTGAGGCCTTGTTACTCCCGTCATTCACCCACCACCTAAGCCTAGCAGACCATCAGCATGGCTTCCGTAAAGTGCACAGTACCACCACAGCATTTAGCGTCATAAACGCCCAGATAGTTCATGGCCTGAACCAGAAGCCACCCTGCGGAGAGGACGATCCTCGTAGCGTTGGACTTGTCAAAGCATTTGACACAGTCAATCACGCAACGCTACTTGAGGACCTGAACCGTCAACGTCCCTCCAGGGCTGAGCGGTGGACCATGAAACTCCAAACTCAGGAAAATTAAACAGGGGTTCCGCAGGGCGGTGTCCTCTCCCGCTACGTTTAATTTCTATATTTCAAAACTCCCCAGCCACAGCGGGAATTTCAATGACCTCGTACGCAGATGACTGTACGATATTGACGTCGGGCAATGGAATCGATGGCATGTGTTCAAAGTAAACGGCTACCTCTTCCGATCTTTCTCGCTTCTTTTCTGCAAGGACTAACACTCTCCCCCACTAAATCCACAGCGACCATCTTCACCAATTGGACGAAGGAGTACAGACTTTACCTGAACATTTCAGTCGATGGCACAAATTCCGACAGTAAATAACCTAAAATTTTAGGCGTCACTTTGGACAGTCTGTGCTCTTTCACTCCTCATACGACCGCGATAACTGCCAAAGTACAGAGCCGCAACAAAATCCTCAAGTCGCTTGCCGGCAGCTCATGGGGAAAGACAAAGAAACGTTGTTGGCAACATACAAGGCAATCGGCCGGCCGGTCCTCAATTATGCAGCCGCAATATGGTCGCCTGGATGCAGTGACACGCAAAAAAGAAGCTTCAGACTTGTCAGAACACTGCACTCCGGACTATAACGGATGCCTCTTGACTTCTCCAATCGAACACCTACATAGCGAGGCCCGTATGTTCCGGTTAAGGAACATAACGAGCTCTCTCCAAGCAGTTTCTGCTGGGATGTTTTCCAGAAACCACCCCTGCAGTCGCCTGCTTGTAGCGGAGCAGCCTCCCAGGAACATCAAGAGGTCCTTCCTTGACTACGTCGACGAAATTAGACAGCACGCCGACCAGACTTCGAACGCAACTAACTTCAGACAAGCACTGACCGCCATTCACAGGGAGCCATTAACACTTCACCGACTCCTCTCAGTGAATGGCGTAATACGAGTCAAACCACCACCCATTGCAGACACAGAGCTCGAGTTGCCTCGCGAATCTAGAGTGACCCTCGCGCAACTTCGTTCTGGATATTGTAGCAGGTAAAACTCCTACCTATCCAGAATAGACCCTGACATACCAAACACATGTCCTGCATGCAATGAGTCTCCGCATGACACTAACCACCTCTTTGCATGCCCAACAAACCCCACTCATCTAACACCCCTCTCCCTATGGTCCGACCCCGTCGAAACAGCTCGTTTCCTGGGCCTTCCGTTAGATGACCTCGACGACAACGAATCTAGAATTTATCACCCAAACGGGGATTAGATAATCGTTACAACAACAACAACAACAGATTTGGCAATTCTACTTATCTTTTTGGTGTGTCTCTGCTCAATTAACAATTCTTTTTTTAGCTCAGCAAAGCTTAATGTCCGAATAAAAATCGTATCGCCAACAAATCTGTACAATATTCCTTTGTCATCGGAAAGGCACGAACTTGGTAGCTTACCTTAAAAGTGAAAAGCTGAAAAAGTGGACCCACTTAGAATTCCTACTCTTACCTCTCTACTGAAAGGAAGAATAGAAACAAAATCGATAACTCCAATACACCCAAAGGTTAATATCTCGAAATTCTCAGCATGTTTTTGACGCATATTTTTCACTTCACAAACATAGCTATCGTTTGCTTGAATCTAGTCCCGTGCTAAATCTTGAGGTGACAAGCTGTTCGCCCAAACCAACAAAATAAATAAGGTGCCTCTTGGCTTCATATGGACTTCTCATAGACATGCTTGTCGACGAGTTAGCGAAATACTAAATATATAATGAATAAATTTGAAGTTTTCGCAGGAAATAGCTTAAGGCTCCTAATACGGGTTTCAACTCTACTGCATTTTGGTTGAAGTTTTGAAATTCGAAAATATCGTTATCAACTAAATCCGTCGAAAAAAAAATGTAGCATGAAGTACTGTCAAACTTCAACTTTTCTACGGTTTTCAACTTTCTTTTACGGTTTTCAACTTTGTGCCAGTGGGGTTGACTAGAATATCGAAAAACTACAACTGCTACCAAGCAACTGCTACCTTACAGCGACTTGCCAAACATATGTCCTGCAGGAAAATAGCCCCGTATTACACCAAGACCCTTTTTTGCAGCTTGAATCTTGGTTTTACTTGACCTATTAAACGTTTAACATTTAAACACATCACCAGCTGCCTTCAGGCGATTGATATTCATTTTTGGCAGCCATAACTGTACACAATGAAAGAACATAAATTTTTGCTGCGTTTTAAATTTTTATTGTGCCTTTTCACCGCAATTGAAATTTATTACCTTATTGCTTAACCTAAATTAAAACTATGTATGTATGTATGCATGTACTACTGCTAATACAATAACTTAGTGTTTGACTTCTTGTTCTTTATCCATAGTTTAGCTCGTCCTCTCTGATATTTTATAATATAGGTTTCTTCACTTTTATAGTTTATATTGATTCTCAAATTTAAATTTTCTAATTTTTACAACCATATTTGTTTATGCATTTGTTGTTAATAGTTGATTGTTGAATTTAATTTCCATTTTGTTTTGTTTTATGCTTTTTTACTTTTTAACTTTGAGGTTAATTTTTATTATTTGCGCAGAGAATATATAATCTACATTCTCTGATTTGCGTATCTCTCTTGTTTTCATTCTTTTTCCTTTTCGTTTTCGTTTTCGTTTTCTATTCGAGTTTTGCTGTTTTCTAAAATTATTACATATGACTATTTCATAAAAACGTTTTGTTACGATTCAGATTTTCATGCGACTGAGCACTCGGATCGCAGAATAGATGCTTTGGGTTTCTTCGATTATCTTATTTTTAAGCAATTTCATTTAATGAGAATACATGAAAAAAAGTAAACAAAATGCTTCTATTCATAAAAAACGACGAATATATCAAGAGATTGGAAAGGGTTACTTGTCGTTTTCTTCCGCATTGTGGACTAGAGTTTACCATGTGAGCAGAATAAAGTTTCTGCTAATTCGATGATAACTTTCCAGAAGTGTCGGGAGTAAAATGAAATGTCTGATTAACGGTAGAACTAAAGAACAACGGACCCTCATTTAAGAGGTTGCTTTGAACTTGAGCTTTTTGGCTTTACCACAGCTTGTAAGGAAGCAAGCACGAACAGTTACGGACTAAATTTGAATTGAGATAGAAGAGTCTGTAACTCGAGGCAAAGAAATTGTAATTTTTATTTTGTTGAAAATAATTTTTTGAAAAGTGTTTTAACATTTCTTAAGTGGATATTGTCGGAAACTTTCGATTTAAATTGCGTGCTTTGTTTTGTGTTTCTGTTATAATTACGCATATTCACTGAAAAAAGTTATAAATGTACATATATTTGTAAGTTTTGCTGTATTATATTTATTTGTGACCTACATGATTGCATATTTATGGATCGCAAGTTACTGAACAGCTTGTGTGTATTCATATTATGGATTTCGGTATGCAGTTTTGTTGTTTTTGTTTTGTGTATTTAATTATTTTTTTTATGGCTTTAAAATGCTTCGTTTTTTTGTGTTTCTCTATTATTGTTGTTAAAATTTTCGCTTACATATTTAATTTAGATATTTGCTTTACACAATTTTCCTGTTGTCATTTGGGTTTTCGCATTTCAATATTATAGTATACATACATACGAACTGTTGTAGCATTTCCGTTTCATTATCCGATTTTTAGCATAATAATTAGTATTTTTCATTGTTTTAATAAGTAGCTTTAGACCAATTAGGTGGGTGTATGCACGCACAAAGCATCGTACATAACATACACACGCATGCGCTACACACGTACACACCTACGCACGCAAGGAGCCAGAAAGCAGTTGGAAGCATTTGGCCTATATGCACTACTACTCACATGCTTATACGTATACTTACTTATATACGATTATATAATATATGTTTGTATGGCTTAGTCTACTTAATATCAACTCTGTAAGAACGTAAGACCAAAAGAAGTCGGCGAAGCGGGCAATGCGTGGGAGAAGGGTGAGGTGGATGGAGGGAAGTCGAAATATGATTGGCAAATGTGCGAGCGAGTAGTTGTTTGTATGGATGTGTGTGTGTCCGTAAGCGCTTAGTTGTTGCGTATTTAAATACTAGATTTACTACACTTAAGATATTCGTAACTTACGCGCGCTCTGCGTCATATCTTCCTGGTTGCCAACTCTACATAGTTGAAGAAGAAACCGAATTTAGTTGAGGTTCTTGGCATTCTACTTAGTGTTTATTTATATAATTTAGATATTTATTTTATAGTTTTCTAGTTAAATCAATGGAAATTCGTAGTTGGCCCTGCAATTACTTTTTGCAGTGTTTTTATAAAAAACAGGTTTTGTAAAAGAGATGCGTAGCCCGAGGGCCACCAAAAAAGGCGGAAACCTCTGGTTAATTTCGAACGGAACGATTGTCATTAATGCGCAAATTGGCTTATTTTACGAAACAGTTTAATTATTTGGCTTAGAAAATAGTTAAACTCAACATATAGACGTATTGTCGCTGACGCATTTACCGTTATCAGATATGTTTGCATATGTGTTTAAATTTTAATTTGTTTATTTGCATTTCTAGTTTCAAGCAATTCAATTAAGCAGTCTAACTTGTAAAGTGAAAAAGCTTTAAAAAAGCTCTGTTGCTGTTTTACTTTCAAAAACGACATGATTTGAAGCATTGTAAGAAATATTAACAGTTCAGCGAGTGTCTTTTTATTTGGTCTCCCCCTGCAGCTGGTTATATCGTAGTGCAAGGTTTTTCACACATACTTGTACATTTGCTCCTGATTGCAGACCAAAAAATTGCGATTGGCAGGGAGGTTGTGATTGTGGACATCTAGTTCCCACTATGGGCTTTTCCATACGAAAACTTTATTATTATTTTTTTTTTATATAAAAGTCGTATATTAAGACTATTTAGATGCATACACAGGGAAAGAGTGCGAAGAGTTAAAAAATTTATCAAAATCCCGTAAGGAATGTAATTTTCAAGCTTTCTTGATTCAATGAAACGTTAAAATTGGTGTTTTCAAAGAAAAACTTTACAGAACAAATTGTATGTAGTTACTAACTGACCCAGCCAATTTGTACCGTCCAACAAAGGAATGAATGAAGGAATAACCAATCGATTTGACAATTTTTGGCATTGTTTCTTCCTATTTTTTCTGTGTTCGGAAATCATTCTAGATTATTCTATTTTAAATTTGTTATCATTTAATCATTACTATATTCTATATTATTCTGCTATTCGGAGCGCAGACGAATTCGGCAAGTTAGAGACTATCAAAATCGCTCCAGTCGTTCTGGAGTTGTAACATAAGTGCTACCCGACTTAATTTTATTTATAGAGATGAGAAATTTCTTAATTGACTGAATGAACTGTTATTTGGTAGATTAATGTTTATATTTATAAAGTGGAATTGAAGCTATGCACCTAACAAAAGGCGAAGAGATTAGCCGACAACACTCTTCGTCATGGCATTGGCCGTGCTCGGTATTTGCGCATTTGTTCGGGCTGAAGCAGGAATATAGTATCATTGCTAAAATTTTATGATTTTAGTACCAAATGTTCGAAAATACATTGAGTTAAACTAGAATTTTGAAAATTGTATATAGGTATACTTAAACAAGTCAAACTACGAAATGTTTGCTAAAAAGTTGCCTCCTTTTAAAGTATTATGTAGATCTGTATCTAAATAAACTTTGGTTGTTATAATCATGCAGTGTGTACTTTGTACTCTGAGGGGTCTTTCCTTTCTACACATTCCAAGAGATTTCCACACTGTAGACGCGTTTCTTCCAACAGGGTGTATATGAGAAAGTGTGGAAGTCATTAAATGCTAGTGTTGTTCAATAAAAATGTGTATCGGGTGTCTAGCTGTCTAGCAAAATATACTTTTAGTATGTTTATCAAATGTTCTATTGCTATCGTATGTTCCAAGTAACTGCGTGAAATTTACCCTTTCACTTACATAGTTTAATGAAACTTATCAACTGAAATTGAAACTCTAAACGAGTTTCTACGTTTTGCTTACGTCTACGTATGTATTACTTATTTACTCGCATAATATACGTACGTACGTATATATTTGGTTTTGATTGCGTATTATGCGTTTACTTTTGCCTATGTTACAGTTTAATTTTAAGGAAGACCATTGTTTTCTCGCATTCAAATTTCCACATTTGCTTGCACTTTCGCGTGCAATTTTGCTCGGTTTGTCATTGTTTTCTTCAAATCTATATATACATATACATGTATATACCATATATACGTGTGTGTATGTTAGGAGAGAGGGAACTCGCGATGGTTGCGGGGGTATTTACAAACTCATAGCCGAGGAAGTGCTGCAGGCGGCGGTGAATCGCTGCGAAGAACTTCAGCAGTTAACATAGCGATGGGATGAAGCGACTCTGTGTAAGCGTGTGTGTATGTACAAATGTGTTTGTGATTGCAATATATTCGATTTACTAGCTAATTGTTTTCTTCTCTAACTGCTTGTAATTGTAATAAAAATAACTGCGCTTGTCTAAACTAAAGCTTCGCTTCAACGTGGATCTTTCACACATTCGAAACGCGAGCATATGTTTGCATGGGTATGCCAGTTATGGTGATATACATGTGTGTGTGTGTGTGTGTATACATGTTAAAATTGTTGCATTTATCTATTGACCGTGTCTTGCCAATTTATATTTGTTTATGTAAGTATGTATATTTCTAACTTTTATGCTCATATTATACTATATTCCTAGCGCTGTTGTCGCTTTACTAATTTGCTGTGTATATGGGTATACCTTTATTTATGTATATATGTTAGTTATGTACGTATGTTTATAACACTAACGTAATGTGCTATGTATTTGGCTATTTGTTTGTCGATACAAAAGCATGTCAATGTGACACAAATAATTTTCAATTCGCTATTTATATAAATATGTATATATGTATATATTCGTAACTATATTTGTGAGTATGCGTATGGTATATGGTTGCTGCGCCTATAACTATGCTAACGTTCAGTGAATAGAAATTATATTGTTTATCGTTTTTCAATTCAAATGCTAGAATGTTGCCATACAAATATGTGTGTATGTATGTCTACGCTTCTAGGCCATAATTGTTGGTTTAATTAAAATTTATGTATTAACTAAACTACAGTTGCGCGCGAAAGCAATTTATGCTGTCAAAATACTTTAGGCTGCATATAAGTGAAGTGCTCACCACTTGGCACAAGGAGAGCTTGGCAAAGAGGGAGCAATAAAAGCTAAGGTAAGCGGTCTCATTGGAAGCATACAGTTCCGCATGTTCTGTGAGTACAGTGTTCTATTCAGCAATTGTTGACACCGCCACACGCATCAATTCGCGATTTGCTCTTGCTTTCTGTAATCTGCGCTTCGAAACTCTCCCTTTGTTTTTAGTCACAGAGTCACTCACTTATCGCTAATTTCTTTTATAAACATAAAATTTACTCACTTAGCTTAGCGTATTATTTGCAACCAAACTAAAAACGCCAAACAATAAATCGTCATACACACACACATATCTGTAAATCTATTGCCATTTGCGGTTTTACGTTATGATTGCTTTAATTCAAGATTCAAGACTTTTAGCGCATTGTCATGCATTTATACACATAATTCATCATGTTTTACTCACTGTGTTCTATAATATATCTTAGAAGGTAGATTCTACGCACGAAATTTGTTAACTTTTTGCTGTTTAAATTGCATCAAAACGTTTGTAATATACAATTGGCTACGCATGTAATTCAACGACTTATTGCTATGTAATGCATCAACCGTAATTGTGTCTTATAATTAAGTATATTTCCTAATTATATTGCATGTTTCAAATGTAAGTGTTTTCTTTTAATTCCAACTTTTTATTATTATTTTTAATTAAATTTTTTTTGTTTTTATTTTCGTTTTCTCTTTTATTTTTTAAATTATTATTTATGTTCTCTTTGTTATTGTATTGTATGTATTGCATGTATATGGAGCATTATTCTCGTTAACAAGTACTTAGGTAATATTCTTATACCTTTTTCTACTTTATAAAATAGTTAACTTTATACTTTCTCGATATTAAGTACAATAGATATTTAATTTTTCGCAGATTTCTCTTTTTTGCCTACGTCAGCAATTTGTGTACGGGTTGAGAATGAGTTGAGCGATCTCTAGAAAGACAGTGCGGAGAAGGGAGTACATCTACTGCTGCAGTCGAACAGTAGTAAGTATTATATGAGTGTAATGTTAATTGCACAGACTCGTAAACCTATAGCCTATATAGTTACGAAGCACTTTTATAGATTTGCTGATATTTTGAATCCTTTTTTATGTTTGTTTGTATCATAGTTAGAATTATGACTGCAAATACCTTTGCAATTTTCACATATCCATTTCTCATATACAGTTATTTGCGCTTAATTCACATTTTGCTTTCGATTTCATTTATCACATTCTCTAGGCTCATAAATCAAGTGAAATTTTCACATATAATGCACTCGAAATCGATTCTTAAAAATTATATCATCGAGATACAGCGTTTCCGCATTATTTGACAATTTAAAACTGATAAGTCTCGTAGCTGTCACATCCCTGGTACTCAATTTATCGACTTCGAGTTAGCGTTATAATTACAATTTGACACACATATCTTACAGTGTAGTTTTGACATTTTCTACATGCGAATTAAATTCCTCACGCACAATTTTACCCCAGCAATTTTTTACTTATCACAGCGAACTCTTATTCACTTTTAATTATTGCCTTTTTCCTTATATCCAATTCAACTTAGTTCAACCAAAAAATAGCTTTGAAATTAAGAGGAAAAGGAAATAAAAACAGAGTGTGAACCAAACACCTCAACACTGAGTGCTCATCTATAGCTGATCTCATTTAGTTCATTCTCAAACTAAAATATGATGAAATATGACCTGGATCATACCAGCTTATATATCTATGTGTTTTTAATTCTCTATAAAGTTCCAATATTTGTCGATCTTTGACCAAAGATATCGAAAGAGGGTTTCAAAGTGACCTGCCTTACGCAAAATTGAGGATCTTCTAGTGCGCCGCAAGAAACAGCAATCAATTGAATAGTTGTCAAAATCGACAACCAAGAATCTGTTTAGGTCGTGTCATCGATGTGGTGTTAAGCGAATTACGTTAATTGAAGCGAATATTTTATTGGAATCGTACTGCTATGTGTTTGGTTCATTGATCAAAAATAGAAGAAAGTGAAGAGTCTAATGACATTTGTAACGGATGTTGGCGTTTTGAATTTATCGTTTACTACGTAAAAACCTAAAATTGTTACAACTTCGGCATAAAATTACACTTTTTCTTTCGTTGACTGAGGCACATTTTGTTTTTGTTATTTGCAGTTTTTTGCTACATGTGTTGTTGTTTTTTCTTTCCAGTGTTTGAGGTTGAAAATCGCTCTGGTGACATTTCATATTGTAACAAAAAAACGAATAAAAGCTTCTTGATTGTAATCGTAGCTTTCCGCGTTGTCGCCTGAACCAAATGTTGTGCTTGTGGTTGCCAGACTTTCGATATTGATACAGATTATGGGAACTACGAAAAGAAATTCCAAATTTAATACGTTAAAAAAAAAATAAAATAAAAGTAAGACATTCGGTCGGGCATATACTCATAGGAAAGTGTACTTACAATGAAATGTGGCGCAGAGAAGAGTACCGCCAAAGTGGCAATTATTGTAAACAGCGTGAAAATTATAAGGCACAAGCGATCAACAACCATCGCTGCGAATTTCCAATCGCGCGTTACGTCGCCCGTTTCGTCCTCTTTCTTCAGCTGAAAGTACAAATTAAAGCATTTATTTTACCTCAGATCACAGCACAAGTATATCATTATTCTCTTCAGAGATAAACAAGTGATTAACTCGATTAACTCCATTGAGAGAGCAGATATTTAGCACTTATCCCACGATTGCTTTGGTTGTCAAACACTATTTTTATATTCTAGCCATCGCCAAGGTTGCATATAAAGCAAAATAACATTTGAATTAAATTTTTTATTATTTTGTATACTTATAAACAGGATTAAAAAAAATTGAATTCCACATAGCGGCTTAAAAAATCAAAAAAAGTAATAATTTTAATCCCAAAAACCGGATTAAAAATTAAAAATAAATACCGGAAGAAAAATTTTAATCTTAAGCATATAATTAAGAATTAGAAAGAGAATATGCTTTAGAATTAACATTTTTTTGTGTTCCCAAACATGAATAAAAAATTAAAATTTGAATTTTAATCCCAACACCAATAAAAGTGTTTCATTCATGTTTAATCCCAACTGTTTGAATTAAAAAAGTCGCAACCCTGGTCATTGCAATTATTTTGTTTTCCGTAAAAAATATATTTTCTTAAAAAAAAATTTGAATGCGACACAAAATCATTTTCATGGTAGATGAGAATTGATTGAAAAGGCTTCATATTCTTTATTATTAAATTTCATAGTCAGAATTGAAGTAATAATAAATATTCACGGCTTAACGTTTGACAAATCTCTTTGAAATTCTCTAAAGTATTGCTACTTATTATATCTGTAAATATAATATGTGTTAGCACTTAACCATACACGGTTGGCCCATAACGACTCTTTGACACGAAAATTAGATTATCTTCACATGTGATGCAATGGAGCTATTGAAATATTCATGATTTGACACATTGATATCGTAAACAAAGCAATACCTCTTCGAACTTAAACGAGGGTACACATTCGTCGGTACACTCACAGTCAAATACCCAGTAAGAAAAGTCGAAAACTTCAAACTTATGCTGCACCATCTCATAAAAGTTTACCCGGACAAAAAAAAAATATACTTTCATGGATGCACCTTTTTATAAATTTTGTTTTCTGATTTGCTTAGTGACGGCATAGGCGATTTAGCAAAATTTTCTTGTGAGTACTTCCTGAAGAAACAAAAATTAGGACTGTTCGGGTCAACTTCATTAGATTGCATTTTACTATCGATGCATATCGACTTTTTTATATCGGCATTTCAAATTGATCAAAGGATATTTTAAGGTTGCATCAACTCGAACTTAAATTTTAAAGTAAAAACTGATTATTAGTCCACGTTTTCCCTATAGGGTATGCCCACGACTTCAAGATAAGTCGACAGTCATCTTTTCACTGTGAAGCGACGCGTGCTCAAGCAAAAACACACATATGTAGGTGCAAAGTGCCGCCTTGGCGCCCGCATGCCATCGTAAAATCTGTATTTCAGTGCCGTCAATTTCCAATCTTATGAATGACATCATTAAAATCGAAAACAATAGACTATCAATGAAAACCGTTATCTCATGTTGTGTGCGCTCACAAGTGTGCATCTGATTGTTTTTGCTATTTGCGCTTCACTTGGCGCTCTGTGAGTATCATGCATTTTTGACACACCCGGACTCGTGAGTGTGCTAGCAGATACACACGCGCTTCTCACGCACACCGTATCTTCGTTCAGGAGCCCAAGTGCCGTTAAGGACAGTAAAGGTAGATTGTTGTCAATTTATTCGCCTCACCTGATCTGTGATCCATCGCAGTTCTTTCAGGATAAGCGCCAATTCATATTCGGCAGATGAGCTGAGGCAGGTATGCGACATGGCTTCGTGCATTCGCGCATCGCCCACCGGGCCAACAGGGCCGACGGGGCCCACCGGACCGACACTGCCGTCATCGCCTTGCCTGTAAAGGGAGAATTTTAAATAGGCAAAGAAAACATCAGTGTATGTACATACATATATAAATGTGTTGGAATATATGAGTATGTGGTATTGTACATATGAGAGAACATATGGATGCGAAAAAACGACCGAATATAAATCACTGGCATACGAGACCAATCAATATGGATTCCGTTGACATTCTTTGAACAAATTAAATTGTCCTTTGAATATGCAAACTACTTTGACTATTGATGATGGCGTGATGCCCTTATAGTTAACACGGCGTTGCTAGAGGGGTGGTATGACGAAGTTTTGATATCTGCTGTTAGAGAAGAGCATATTACTATTTATTTAATATGTGAATGAAAACATAGTCTTTTTACAAAAAGGCATCGTATCTATTGCAACCCGAACCTTCAAAAGACATGTGTATAACTTTCACTGCTGTTAGACAATTAATTCGCGAGATATAGCATTTTGAGTGAGGTAAATTTTGGTATATTGAAAAAAAAATGGATAAAATTGGAATTTGTGTTCGAAGAGGTTTGCTTAAAGGGGCTGTTACGGAAAAAAGTCCAAAAAACCTTCAAATGAAATGAGTGCTGAATCAAAGGAATATGGTGAGTGGTAGCCGCGAGACAGTTGAAACAAAGTGCTGTGACTCCAATCAAAGAAGACGTTGACGAAATTCTTGACACATCCGCCATATTTTCCGTATCAAACAGTGTTCAAAGTCCAGTAGAAGTGGATGCGTAAATGCACACCTGGATCTATGTTGAGGCAAATATGGCTTTTGTTACAAAAATGGTATGAATAAGTTGAAAGAACACTATAATCAGTGCTTGCCCACGATGTCAACTATATTGAACAATAAAATCAAATAGTAAAATGAAAAACGTTCAATTCGGCCGAACCGAAGCTAAATTATTCTTCACAGGTGCACTTCTTATAGGACAAAAGGGTATAAAGACTTTATGTTGATTTTGATTGCTTAGTTTGAATTGTAGCAATATGCTGTATTGGTACGATTTGAAAAATTAGTATATATGTACGTATATTCAGCGTTGCCTTGGTCATTTTCCGTGCCCAATTTCGTGCAGATCTCTTGTCAAATAAAAATGTTTTCCATATAAGAACAAGATTTTAATTTATCAGTATTGCAGCTATATCCTATATATATTCCAATTCATGAGCAGCTTATTGGAGAGAAAAGGACGGAATTTCAGATATTTATTTCAGCTATTTTATATTTCGATATTTCAAAAACTGAGAGACTGGTGCGCGTATATATGATATGATATGTAACATAAAGACTTGACAACTTTCTTATAAAAATTAGTGAAATAGATCTCTATGTTCTAGCAAACTTACCTATACATGGCGCGATAGTAAGTCGGCTGATGGGGTAACGTGGCGCTGGCACAGCGATGGTTACAACGGAAGTCATCGTCGATGTCCAGAACATTGGCGAGTAATGATTTCGATGATCTGCTTGCGAGAAAAGTTAGATTTGTACTCATTAATTTCACAAATACAAAAAGAACACCGACTTATTCACAGAAAATTGCTGGTTTTAAAATTTCGGTGACATTTTAGGGCCACATAAATGTTTTTTGAATAAAAAAAAGTCTTGGGTACAAAGACGGGGCGTACAGTGTACTAGCCAGTTCACATTTAGCATTGCATTCCGATAATCGAATATAAAGTATTATGGTATATGGTAGCCGTCTTCGATTCGCCTCCATCTGTTTGTATTGCTTCACTACTTCCGCTCTCTTGTTACAAAATGAACAAGATTTTCTGTTAAATTCAATACAAGTGGCTATGTGGATACCTCTTTAAAGGGGCGTGATCGCTTAACATAAAGATAAAACTCCTCTCGATTATGTCAGTTTATTTGATTTATACCAGTCGTTTGTTCGATTCGCCACTCTACAAGATTTGAGGAATCGAAGACAGCTAGTTTATTATTAACGTATGCGTTACCTTTCTTTCAGTTCGACGTTCTGCATCTGGTGCTTTTTATCGCCGGCATTGGAGGAGCTCGATGACGACGGCGGTGGTGGACATTCATAGCCGACCTGTCCCGGCCTTTGCATCCGCAATATGCAAGGTAACCAATAAAGGAATATTACTCTTATCTGGGGGGTTTTCAAGTAGTCGGTAGTAGACAGCGAGTGTGAGAGAACGCGACAGCGATAGAAAGAGGGAGAGAGTAGTGTGCGAGTATTGACGGTTTAGTACAGTTTTGGTTTTAGTTTTTCAGTTTTTGGTTTTAGTTTTAGTTTAAGTTTCAGTTTAATTTGAAATTTATTTTCATATTGTTGTTGTTGTAGTTGTTGCGCATAGTCAGTGTTACGGTATTCGCCAGTAGCAAATGCAGTGAGTGTAATTTAATCAATTTTTGGGTTATTATTATTGTTGTTGTTAATATTGTTATTGTTTTAAATATCATCTCGGTTATAAAGTTTGTTAGTTAGTTGTTGTTTGTGCAGTTTAAAATGCATCCACACATGTATTGTTGTTGTCAGCAGATGTGTCGGGTATTTTAAAAACGAGTTGACGCACGGCGATCGAGCGCGTTAACGATCAGCAATATAGTTAACAGAGATAGACAAGGACAAGTATAGAGGCGGAAACATCGAGTACGAAACCGACAGAGCCAGATAGCGATAGTGGGCAGTCGACACCAAGCGAAGCAGCCGTCGGAGCAGCAACAAACAACAGTGGCAAGGCCGGTGAAAGCGTCATGGCCGAGAAAGCGTTGAAAATTTATTGAAATATGTGATTATTAACATTATGCTATTTCAAGTAAAAGTTCATATTTACACTTATGTAAAGTTCTAAAGAGTAAGTTAGTTCCAGAAAAAAATTTCGTACAATAATGAAAAATGTTCTAAAGCAGTTGAGGCAACATTGTGAATGCATTGAAAACTGTTCGTAAGAAAGTTTGCCAAAGCTCGGAAATTATAGAAAAAAATCAAGATTTATAGCAAGCAAAATTTTGACTTTAATTACATTCGGCGGCATATGTGGATATGCGTGTATGTATGTGTGTGTGTGGCAGGCATATCTGTGATTTGTTTGTGTTGCTATTCTGTTTGTGCATGCAGTTTTCAAGCAAGTAGACTTGCTTGATTAGTTGAAATGCCTTAAAATATGTGAATTATTTAATTAAACTTCGAAGTATAACACAATGCATTTTCCTCGTACACACAGGCGGCGTCTGCGCTGCCTATGTATGAGTGTCCCTGTATTTGAGGCCAACTCCGGATAAAAAGAAGCGTTTAAGCGAGTATTCAAAGTGTGTTGTGTGTTTGTGTGTGTGTATACTTTACATATTTGCAATCGATTAAAAAAGCTCGTTCGGTTCACTCCGAGTGGCGACTCGCAAGGTTCGAGTTAGGCGTGGCATCATACCGTATATTTGTATGTATGTAAATGTGTATGGATGTGTGAATATATATAGGTGTGCGTTTGTGCTGAGTGCATAGTTTTGCTAATGCATGTATGCATGTGTGTGTGTTTTTGGCTATGTTGCACGTGTATTTTATGTGTATGTATGTATTGTTTGGCACTATTGTAGTAAATATATAAATGTTAAAAAACAAGTAAGAAATTTAAATAAAAAATTGTTTACTGTTTGAATTGATTTGCATATAATATTACCCATTCACTCATTTCATGCGTATCTGGATTTCTATGATGATAATTGAGGATAAGTATGGTTGACACAACTGATGAGGCCACCATAAACATAATGCAATTGAAATAAGTTCCTAGAAGGACACAAAAATTACACAAATATTGTACGTACGTTTGTGTGTGTTTATCTGTATGCAGCGGCACATACTCAATAAGTACAGAGTGGCAACGCCACACATTCATATATGCGCAAATGTTCCAATGCGTCTCGTGCGCATGTGCAAATGTGTGGCATGTTGTTGGCTCTCATGTTTGCAACACAGTTCAAATTATATTTGCAAAAATTTCGCCTTGCATGGTCACATTTGTATGTTTGTATGTGCGTTATGCGTTGCAATGCATTTCGGTAGCTTTAACTTCAACGCGACTCATTACTTTAGTTTCAGTTTCGTTTAAACACTTTGCGCCACCATATTTGACCGGCCAAGCGAATAACGGTACTTTAAGATTTATATAAAAGTTTGTGTATATACAAAGTTATATATGGTGCATTTAAAGTTTTGGTTTTATTTAATTCGACATCGATCTTGAACACATGAGCAGGTGAAATTGATTGTGTGAAGAGCGGAACCAAAAGTTATTTAAATAGAATCCGTGAAAGGGTGAAGAAATATTTTTAAAAACATAAGGGAAGTTTACGACAAATTCAAAATTAATTAATTCTTCTCATTTTATAAAAAAGATAATATCTTTAATCGGCTTAACTATGTGACGCCATTAGAAGCGAAGTCGACTTTAAAAGTTATTGCCAAGAATGCAGTATTTATATATAGAATACAAATTATTATGACATGAAATCGGCGACCTGGCCTGTGATGATGTGTGGGCTTAGCAGGATAATGCGTTCAAACACACAGAACTTTCTTTCAGTTTCTGGACGGTCTTCTTTGCGCCAAGTTCGGCATCGCTTCCTCGTTGATATCATTTGGCTCTCTTAGAGCTAAGAGTGGTTGTTGTTATCTTTTTTGGGGAGATGCTATTACCGAGTTAAGTATCTGAATCGTAACCTTTCTGTTAGACTCAGATTTTGGAAATCTGTCAGCCGACGTTTTTATATGAATGCAAATAATAATAGCCTAGAATTTTTCTACTCTGATGATGACAGGTGAGGAACCGATAATCAAACCCATGTTCCCGCATTATTTGTCGGCATTCATCACAGCAAAATGTAAAACTACTTTTCACACAATCAATCTAGCCTACCATTTTTTTAATTTTGTATGCCATTTACTTGTATTTGGTCGAGCTTTCGGTTCATTTTGCTAGATAATACTCAAAGTTTACTTGAAATTAAAAATATATTGAAATCGTGACAAAGTAGGAGCAAAACACTTTGTGAACAAATTATGGAAAAAACTGATTTATATTACACAAACTGCATTGTTGTACGAATATTCATAGCAATATAAATAGAGAAAAACTTGTAATTATTAAAGCATTTAAAAGTATACAATACATATCAGATATTATAATTAATCTATCTTACAGCACGAGAAAAATTATTTATTTACTGGATTAAAATAAAGCCTGATTTCTCCGTTCGGATTGTGTCGTTTCTGCGCAAGAGCAACCTCAGAACAACAATTGCCCAAGACCTAACCTAGCAAGACAAGTAACGGTATCTGTAACTGTGTGAATGGGTGGCCGGAAATCCCAACACCAACAACAACAACTTGAGGCCCAATTCAAGCGACAACGTGAAATTGCCGAAACATTTAGTCCCGCCGATTAGTGTTCGTCTCTCTGGTTTCTCGTCTCTCTCGCAATCTGACGCTGTCGTTGACTTGAACCTGGCATTGTTGCCTGCATTTTCAACCCTTTTTATCACCGTTCGTCCGTGATATGTTGAGTTAACCTGTGCACAACCAATTATCCGCAATCATCATGCTTCGCAATGACCGCAATTGTAACGGTTCTCTTTTTCCGCTAACTGTTTCATGTTCATCATTCACTTTTGCGTATTGATCAATTTGGTAATAAGTAGCTTGTCAGTGGGTGGGGGTATGGAGTAGATAGTATATAGAGTGGTGGCAATAGTCTAAGGTTGAGTTCTAAAATTTGGTTGTGGAATCATCTTTGGGATATGTTTTTCTTTAGTTTGTTTACTTTATTCTTTAGCTCCGAATGGGAAGTAGGATTTGTGAAAATGGCTTGAAGTCTTCTTTGTTGTGGTTTCGGTGACACTGTTTCGGTTATTTGGTATATTGTTTTGGTTGAAATGGAAAGTTGTTGAATAGATGGTGTGGCATGTGGGTTGTAAGAAACTACGAGGAGGCATTTGAAATGCGTAAACAATGGACGGCTGTGAATGTTGTTGTAATTGTGTGGTCGTGACTTCGCAACTAAGGTGACTCATTACACAGCTAGGGTAATGTAGGTTCTTACTCACAATGATTTAGATTAGAATTACTCCATTCTATTAATTTGTGGATGAAATCTATGGATTATCACTACAATAGTAAATATTTTATATATTTAATTTGATATTTTTAGGATTATTGTGGGGCTGTTTGCTCACTAAGTAGCATTAAAAATCTAATTAACGACTGTTTAAGGTTTTTACACCGAAACGTTGAATTAGTATTTAGTGCATTAAGGTTGTTCCAAATTTTCGATATTTTGTCGAATGAAATCGTTTCTAGAACGATTTCCTTGTATTTTGAAATCCTTTGATTTTTGAAATAATTACTGATAATTAATGAAAAATCAAATATACATATAGGGGTAGATTTCTTAGTTGTCCGTATGATAATAAGAAAATAAATATTATTTTCACAGAAATGAGGAAAGTAAAGTTTTACAAGTGTGCAGCATAAAATTTGTATGAAGCTATATGGAATTATTTATTTTAGTTTAACCAATATTAAAGTGGTATTATTATTGTAAATTTTAGATGGGGAATTTTCCTACAAAAACCGTGTGAGATTAGTCTCAAATTGATAAAAATAAAACTTTCGCTCCGAACTTTTCAAAATTTTGGAACACCCTTTATGCTAATATTTTAACATAAGGAGTTTAACGGTTTTTGGACATTAATGGAATAGAAATGTTCTGTTGCTAAATATAATACCGAAACTGTTAACTGTTACTGAAGGGGAAACTAATGAAATTAGGGCACCATAGGCGCTCAAATTATTCAATGTGGCTTTATATGATATTCGAAAAATTATTTCACTCATTTAAGATCAATTGAAAAAGTATAAAAAAACCGGCTTTCCGTAAAAAACCATTTCTATTCACATTAATTACCCAGTTTTCATTTCATTAGGTTTCATTATTCGAAATTATTTACAATTATATATTTACAAGATTTTATTTTAGATTGGTCATTATTAACATTTAATTGCTTACATTTAAATTTGTAATAACAAACAAACGAATAAACCATGAGTTGCTGCTATTAATAAAATATATTTAATGCAAATGGAAAATTAATACGAAAATGTGAGTTTACGAAGTCGCATACGACAACGAATGAATCGGCGGAAGTTCGAAATGCTCAGCGATTTGGTTGAATCGTGTATGATACAACGCAGAAATGCTCGTGAAGAGTGATGAATAAATAAGTTAAGCAGAAACTTTATATTAAATGAAATAGAAAGTTAAAATTCAGAATTTAAAACACAGAAAAGCGCTTTATCTTCAAATCACATAAGGAGAAGCAGAACCAAAGAAAAAATCAAACATATATGTAAATATGCAGCAAATCGGATAAAACATTATTAATTAATATACTTATACATATATACGAGTTGTTTCATAATATGACACTTGTTTGCTTGTTGCAAGTGCAGCGCCACTAAAGTATTAAAGATTTGTACAAAGGTGTGAAGCGACTCTCGTACCCGCATATTATGGTATATAAGTATAGATGCAGAAGAAAGAGATAAAGAAGATACAGCAAACACATACAAACACGATTTCGCTTCAACTCTAAGAAGATGTCAAATCTTGGGAACCATATTCTTAAGAAATTTCCTTGCGGGAATAGCTCAATTTGAGCAGGGTTAAATTAGGCTCAAGGCACGTCTCATATTTGGAAATGCCAATGCTAAAATTTGTTGAAGCATTGGGTTAGTGGTAAAAAAAAACTCTCCCGATATTCGCTAAATTACAGAAACCGAAGCTCACTAATCGTGCGTTTAAGGCTAGTTAAGGCATTCCTTCAACCTCGCAAACAATGGCATCGTGTCAAACTGCGATGAGACTAGTAAAGCTGATGAGCTGGCGAGAAAAGGCATTCTAAACACGTCACCAGTAGAATGGAAGTAGATCGGTGGTCCGCTCTCTTCGTGCGCTCTTCTACTGGATAGTTTCGTGAAGCTTGGTCAGCGCTGGGCTGCCATTGGTTCTTGCAAAGTCAAAAATTCTTTTTGATTCAGAGTATATCGTGAAAGGTCTAGTGAACTCTCCGCCCTCATTAAGGCTAGTCTTTCCCTAAGTCTAACTGATCATTGCCCTACCGGTGTCCACGTGGTAAGGTTGAGAATCTTACCGGACACCAATTAAGGAAACTGTTTGTAAGAATACGAGGTAGTACACATGGGAGCTTCCAGACATCCCGCGGAGCTGACGGGAATAGAAAGCAATTTGTATTACAAGATCTAATTACAGACAAATTTAGTAAACCAAATGTGATCCCATCTTGAAGATCAGCCATTGAACCTAATCTACCTAAATTAATAGTCAATTTTTTTGACAAAAAACTTCGCAAATAACTAATTTTTGAATAATAGAAATAGATTAACAGATTTTCTATGGCTTTTTGCTGAGAAATTTTCAAGAATTCTTAACTAATTTTTACTGGGTCTCTAAGAGAAGGAGCTTGAGATTTATTCCTTTTGTACCTTTGATCTGTTTGCGAAAACTTGCTTGCATGTGTGTGGGTGGCAATGCCTTTGAAAGAAAAAAACGAATTGTTTTAAACATAAGGCGCACCAAAACGCTTTACTCTTTCAGTGCAGAAGTAAAGAGAAGCAAAATTAGTAAAAAAGTAGCATAACAATAAGAAGAAGACAAAGAGTGGAAGTTGAAAAAGACAAGAAGAACAAGACCGCTAATGTGAAAAAAGTAAATAGGCAAAAACATACATGAAAGGCAAGCGGAAAATAATCGAAAGAGAAAAAGCGCGCCGGCAAAATGCTGGCAGCTCAGCTTCCGGTTTGTGGGCACACTTTCGTTCACTGGCAAGTCACTACTATGCTCTTGCCACACCTTTTACTTTTTCTACCATGTCTTTCAAATCTTCGTGCATTTGCATTACAGTTATTTGCATTTTTCTACTTAATATTTCCCGATTCGTTTGCTTTTTGCAATCGTTTGTTGTTGTAAGCGCATTTGTGTTGCTGTGCAGACCAACAAGAACGTTTTTTCTCTCACATTATGTGGTGGTTGGAGCGACAGGCCAAAGCGGCAAGTCGCACGCCGCTTGTGCGAGGCTTGCCCGAGAGGTGGCCCGCTGAGCACATGGAACAATGGGTTGGCCCGTTGCCCACCGGAGGCTCTGCCAAGTGGCGTGTAGCGTGTGGCAAGCAGCGCGGCTACGTACGAGCATGTAAGCGTGTGTGTCTTTGGCAACACATAACGGTTTTTGCTTTTTACTTAATTTTTTTTTGTTGGTTTTTAATTTTTATTTTTATTTGGTTTTGTGTTTATAAGCATGTTTTCAGTTCGTATTTCGCTTTTAGCTGCATATTATGCTCCTAAATGCCGTTACTCATTTCATTTGTGGATCGCTACGTGTTCGGCTATTTGTATTTGGGTTAAGGATTAAAGTGTACATAAACATTTACTTTTGCTTTGTTTGCTTTATTTGCCATACCAGTCCTCTTTACTTTTGGATAGTTTACCATAGTTGGATAAATTCGTGGGTATGTGCATGTGCGTGTGTCTGGGTGTGCGTGCGAGCGTGTTTATTTTGTGGCAAACATGTTAGTTCTTATTTAAATTTATTGTATTTATTTGCTTTGTTGCTATTGTTTTTGGTGTTGTTTATTGCATTCCATAAATAAAAGTGCTTATTGGTGTTGGCGTGTTGTTGCGGCGGTGCGGCGGCGCGATGGGCTGCATGAGCAACATTTGCAAGCCGCCACGCGCGCCGCACTGCCGTGTGTGTGGGTGTGTGCAGGACGTTGGACATAATCGCCCGTTTGCGCCTTGGTATGGCTGTTGGAGGCGCAGCCGTGTGGGTGTTTTTGTCTGTATGTTTGTGTGAGTGTTGGTGTTGGTGTTGTGGCAGCTTTGTTCATTCCGCTGTTGTGTTCTCTATTTACATATTTTAGTGGCAAGTATTTACATTTGTGTCTGTTTCTGTTTTTAGTTAGTCTGATTCGCTGGTTTTAGTTTGAAATATTATGCCCTTTTTTGCTTTGAGGCAGAGCAGTAACAAATAATGTATTTGTTGTTGTTGTTGTTTTTTTTAACCATAAAAATAACTATTTGCGCAAAATATGCTGTTGAGTAGTTTTTACTGTTTTCGTGTTGCATTCATTGCGCAAATTACTAAATGTTGAAAGAAGAACGAAATGGAATTAGAAGAACAAAACAAAAGCACACAACAAAAACAAGCTCGGCGACATGCATCTAAATGAGAAACATTGCAGGATACATGTTTGGCGTCTGTGTGTGAGAATGTGTGTGCATTTATTCGCTGTGCCAACGCATCAACGCGTATGTATGAATGCGTGTGTGTGTATGTGTGTGTAATAAGAGCAAGCAAACAACGAATATTCGCGACGAGTATGGGCGTTGTGAATGTCAACACAATTTTTTACATGGAATTCGATATTTATCTGAAGTTTTACTGTTACATAAAATGTGTATGTATGTATGTACATATGTGGATGAGCATGAAAGAGTTGTGATTTGTCACTGATTTATGGAAATGCATTGAAAGCTGTGTGTTCTAAATGTTTTAACTAATTCGTTGTTGTGGTGTTTGTCGGGAGGGATTTGCGTTTGGAGGAAGAGGTATCAGAAAATATTATTTTCACAATATAAAGGATTTAAATTTGTTTTTCTAAGTTGGGAAATAGTAAAAATGCGAATGTGTTTATGTACAGAAGTGTATGAAAAATTTAATTATTTAATGGTGTTTATGCGAGCAAAGGAAATCATATTAATATATAACTACTTTATTTCGGATTTGAGTATTCTTGCTTTTATGTGGCTTATTTACAGTTCGTTGGTACTGGAAAAATATATTTACAATTATATATGAGGAAAACCACTTCATCAGCTTACCATACCTTTTTCACACAAAGGCTGGAAATGTCAAGAAATGAACGCCAGAATAAGTGGAAGCAAGCTGTACAGCTGATGTACGCTGATAAATAGTTTGAAATCTCTGCGTTGTTCCACCACTCATATCTTTTTTAATTCCCTTTTTGTAACGAATTTAAATTTCTAACAAAGCTGTTTCTGTACAGTGAATCCAGGAACACTTGAGAAACTTTTAAATATAATTTAACGGTAAATGTTGCCATGTTTGCACAAAAATTATCTACGTGTTCAATAAGTTGTTGTCTTTATAAAGCATCCCCACTCCCCATTAGTGGCATACGAAAACAAAAATAAGAAAGTGAGCACAAAGTAACAACACATTTCAGTTCAGCACGCAGCAAACTTCCGTTGGGGCAAACACACTTCCGCCTAACCAATGTGTATGTGTTTACCAAGAAAATCTGACACTGTAATGAACAGGTAATTTGCTGAACTAGGGACTAAATTTGAAATTAATCGGAAAAGTCGCAAAGTGTGCAGATAGAGTTTATACGAGGTGTGTTAAAAAAATAACGAGCATTTTGAAATTTCGCTGGTTTGGAGAGTTCAACTGTCATAAGTTTTTTTTATTATGCTGATATACATGTCACTGAAGTACGATATAATTTTCAGCTGTATTCATTGCTTATATTGTCTGCAGCAGCCGCTAAGGTTAGACGTGTTGTTGTGAGCTTGGTGGTTTTCATTTGTTAAAAGAACAGAAGAGATTGAGCCTTAGTTTCAACGTCATAATCGTAAACCCATGTTTCGTCATCTGGTATAGCACGCTTCAGTAATTCTGCAGCGCAGTTGACTTCATTATTGTTCCTGTGCGTTTCATACCCAAAACATTCGAAAAAATTTCATGGCATGAGCCAATCGATATGCCAACATCTTCGGCGACTTCTCTGATTGTGATTCGGTGATCACTCATAATCATTGCTTTCACATCGGTTGTTGATGTGCTGGGGCATCATTTTCAGTCTTCCAGCCACCTTAGAAACGCTTAAACCACTCATAAACTCTTGTTCTGTTCATAACAGACTCACCATAAATCTTTTTTAACATGTGTATGAAATTTTTTACTCAAAATTTGTTCCAAATTCTTTGATCCATTTCTTTACAAACGAAAATTGCCAAGCTCACAAAAACACGTCTAACCTTAGCGGCTGCTACAGACAAAATAGACAATGAATACAGTTGAAAACCTTATCGACATAATAAAAATTATGACAATTCGACTCCCTAAGCCCGCGAAATTTTAAAATTTTCTTTATTTTCTGGACACACCTCGTATTTGTTTGTGGTTTTGCTTTAGCAAGGAAACTGAGCAACCAAATTGACAATTCTCAAAAGTTCTGTATCTCCCAATGCCTAAAGATATGTAGATTACGGGTCTGTCTTGGAAATAAACTGATTTTTCAATAGATTGATAAAAAATGTTGAGTGAAAGCAGCTACTAAACCATTGAACATCTGCTTAGTTTCGAGCTACAAACATCTCCTTCATTTTATGTGGAGTGCCGCGGAGCACCCTTTTGTAGTATCGCCAACTAAAACCAACTACATTCAAGTGAATTTAAGTATTTCAATTAAAAATTCAAAAAGTTCAAATAATTCAAGTAAAATTCTCAGCAAAAGATAAAAAAAAAAATTAAATCCGTTTGAGAAAAGCCCAACTTACCTAGGAGCGGCACTGCATCTGAGGTCGCTGGCATCGTTTCGGCCACCATATTGAGGAAGACTGTTAGCGATAGTAGAATTGTAACTCCTGCGATGCAAAATATTTCATAGAAACGAGAAAAGAGAGTTTGACTAGAAAGTGTTTTGGAACATAAAGTGGAGAGAACACAACAAATTTATGGAATTAACACAGATTATTTTAGAATTTTTCACTTTTTGGTTTAACAATGCTTTTTAAATTACTCGTTACTAGTTAGATTCATAAGTTACTCGTTACTAGTTAGATTCGTATGTTACGAAGAGTGTACGAGTGTGACTATAATTGTTGTTGTTGTAGTTTAGCTGTGCTTGCTGTGTACTTATTGGTGACTGTGGTTTATGGTTTTTCTGGCGACTGCACTTCATGGCCCGCAAGACTCAGTCAAGCCAAATGTATAGACAGGCGGTTGAGTGGGCGAGATCAGCAATTTGCATTTTGTATTTCCGTTATAACGTTTGCCTGCAGCTGGCATAGCTACATGCAAATATGTTAACTGGTATAGGTGGTTGTGGTGTTGTTGTTGATGTTGTTGTTGTTACACATCTGGTCGTCAGTGTGATGCAAATAAAAAACTACTACCATATTCTCTGCGCTGAACCTCAATGTGAGCCTGTCAGTGTCATCATTATCTGTCATTAGCCTTGAGTCATCAGTCAGTAGTAGTCAAGAGCTATGCGTTTGCCTGTACGCACAGGCAAATCTGTCTTTTTTACAATTCCAGAAATGTTAGGTGTTATGGTTGTTGTTATGTTTATGTTCATTTTACAGTTTTGCGTTTTTCAATCAAATCAATTTTGCGTTTGCGACATTTGTTGGTTTGACGTAAAAAAATATTGCTTTCGAGCTTCTTTAATTTATTTTCTACTGGCGGAGGGTGCAGGGAAATTCGCATGCGTTAGTAAGAGGGTAATTGAAGGAGTTTTTGGGTAAAACTGACTTGGTCATGGTAATGGTCAAGCATATTATGGCATGCTTTTGGGCGCTCAAACCAGGCTATTTGCATACATTTCGTTGTTTTAGAAAAAAAAAAAAAATTATTCTATATTTCATAGCATGTGTGCTTTTTTGGCTGTAGTAAAGCGCTAAGTGTCACACGAACAACATCTTGCCAAAGTCATTGTAATGCTCGGGTACTTGGCACCTGCTGGTGCGTTTCTTATCACTTAGCTTCAACTGCGTGAGTTTGAGTTTCCAGGAGGAATTTTCAAAGTAAATTTTCATGCTCTATTTGCTGTGTTCTTAGTAAAAATGGGCGAAAAACGAAGACTTGTTAGACTTTTATTTTGCATTCAGCTTCTACGCTCACTTTTAGCGCGTTTTTTCTATTATACTCTCTCATTTTAACATATTGTTTATACATATGTATATATGTGTTTACCATATAGTTCCATTGATTCGTGTTCTACAAGTTTTCCAATGTGGTTTATATTTATTTATTTCTTTCTTACTTAGTCTCAGTAGAAACTGAAATCCGTATTTGGTGAAGAAACAAAAGAAACTTTTCTCGTTATTCCTTTCAAATAACTATTGACTTTTGCCACAAAGTTTAAGAGCTTCAAGAATTTAAAAGTGCTTTTGCAAACATTCGCCTCGAATATGCGTCGAATATAGTCGTTTTGTCAAAGATAAGAGTTAGGTCGCTGATACTATTTGATGAAAAACTTTTTTGTGTAAGAAATATTCCCGAAGATTCGGTATTGGTGTTTCGGCATTATGTTCCCCATAGCCTCGAGTATATTGATGTTAAATGCTTATTTGCAGATAAGACCAAGTCAATTAAAAGCTCCAAAAAGTTCATTATATCATTAATAGCATAAAAGAAGACTAAGAAAAGTTCCGTCAATGTAAACATTTTTATTGTTTTATTGTTAGCCGAAGAATTAATTTACTGTTAGTTGAAAATCAGCGGAAGTAACTATTGATAGCTGGGATTTTAAATAAGTATATATTCAATTGTAAGATGAGCTTTTTATATGCTTACATAAAAAGTTCTTCATCGATTTAAGTATTTGGATTTTAAGTCAGTTTAGCACTATAAAGGAAGCAACAACAAATATCAAGAACTTGGATCTGCCTGCTGAGGCGTTTGCGGTGCTAGCGGAGTGAAAATGTCTTTGTGTGTTATTATTAAATTCACTTTCGTTCGATGGCACATGGTTGTATGCGCTTCTGCTGCTGTCGTCATATTGCAGTATTCATCAACTCCCTTGAGGCTTCACCAGCGAGACTGTACGCGTTCACTTCCTCTTTCGCTCTTGCTCCCATTCCGAGCACAAAGCGAACCGCCTGCATACTTGGGTGAGGGGCATTTAAATATTTGCAATGAATTATTTTTTTTTGCCTTGTTGCTGTTGCTTTTCTTTGGGTCAAGGTTACTGCGTCCACGCAGCGTAAGTGTGTGGATGTGTATGTTTGTGTTGTTGAGTTTACATATATGTTGCTAAGTTATTTCAAAGCTCGTCTCCTGCCATCTAAATTTCGAAACATTTTGTTCTTTTACCACTTGGCCATACCACCAGCGTTTGTTATGCTCTAAATGTTTTATTGTTGTAAGCGCTGTGCCGTTGACATTGATCAGAAGTGATGGCATTTTATGGCGTTCTCATTTGCTGATGTCCTGCTGCCAGGGCCTTTCAAAGCCTTCATTCCTCTTACTTTGTTTTCTCTTTTCTTCTCCTCATAGTTTAAGCATACGTATTTCACTTGAGGTTCTTAAACTGGATTTATGTTACATTTATCATACATTTTTGACAAGCACGCTTGTCGCCACTCCCGGCCCCGATCCTTTGCCGACCACTCTGCGGGAATTTTCACGTCACGTAAAGCGCAACGGCTGTGGCCTGTTCGATAGTTTTTCGCTGCTCTTAAGTACATGCGAAATTGATTAAGTGGCAGCAGTTTCACTCAGAAAAAACGTGTTTGCCGCACTCAAGCATATATCATGATGTGTTTTTGCTCTTTTGAGTAAGTTTGGTGAAATCATCAAATTCAAATCAAAATGGTAATATCTTAGATTCTCTGAATGGATGCACTTTAATCCGCTTTCAATGGCAACAGTGATGGCAGCTATTATTCTTAGATTTCTTAAAAAACTCGTGTCACAATATGCTATGCCATTACCAACATATTCTGGATATAATAAAAAAAAACATATTCTTAAAAGTTCTACTTCTTTTTCTTCCAAATTCACTTTGCGTGAAACATTTGTGCAGCTGATAAAAAAGTTCGAGAACCAAATGATAGAATATTTATTTTTTGCTCTTAATGGCAGAGGCTAAAAGAGTTTATATTATAAGCACTAAAATTGTAAAAATTCAAATAATTTCATTGCTCATTTGTATTTTGTTAGTTCAGAAGTCTCGATTTGTCAATCGCCTTGTTTCTGAAAGTTATAAGCGCTTCGAAGCTTTTTGACCGCTAAATGGGGCTTTTTGAAAGCAATGAACTATTTGCCCCTGGACCGTGGTCTGGTAGCAGCTTTAAGGATTTCATCGACACTTGTACGATATATTGTTCGATATTCATAGTTATTGGAGCTCTGATTGACAATCAAATTCCTCATGTCAAAGAACCCTAATGCTCATAGAACCGACAATGAGCAATTCTGAGTTTTCAATCGTCTAGAAAAAATTTTGTAAACAGCTGCGTAAATAAAATATAATATTTTGTCAACAATTAAAGTTCGAGGGAGGGCATGCAGTTTAAAGGGTTGAAGGGGTTGTTCAAGGATTATAATACTTCGAAATACAAATCTGTCCGAGTTTAAGTGGATGTTGCTTAAGACTTCAAACAATTTCGTTTAAATTTTTTCACTGGGGAGGTTGGGTAGTTTTATTTAAATTGCCATTGCCTTTTCGAGGGCACAAAGCTTACGGACATATGACACTTACCGAGCGAGAGCTTCTCACCAGAATCGGGGGGCAGTGTGAACCCTAGCAGTGCCATTGAGGCTATCAGTACGCACGGCACAATTAAGTTAAAAAAATAGTACAAAGTTTTCCGTCGTATTAAAATGGCGAACGTTATGTCAATATAAGGTTCTGGGCAGCAATTATAGTAGATTTCATTTCGTTTACCGGGCACGCCTGCAAAGAGAGTGCAAAGAGAGCACGATCGTTGTTGCGGATACGAATGTAAGAGAGGGTGAATGGTTTTCGATGTTTTATTTTTGGGAGAGAGAGGGAGAGAGAGAAAGAGAAAGTTGCGCATTAGATAGGATTTATAAAAAATATGTAAATTTGAAGTTGTGCATATGAATATCTAAGAATGTTGAAATATAAATGAAAGTGATGAATTGTTAAAAGTTTGGTAAAAAATGTTGAGTGATTTTTTATTGCTTGTTTTTAGAGAATTTTTTGATAGTTCTCTTTTTAACATGAGCAGTGGTAAATATGTCAAAGCAAGAGCAGAAATGAAGAGATTTACTATTTTTATAAATTGTGAGTTATTTAAATTGTTAGTTAATTATATAAGATTATTGCGAGATTATTTAAGAAAGGTTATTTGAGACTACTAGTTGCACTTGCGAGCTCTGTCTTACCTAGCAAGTCCCATTCGCCATTCGTTATGAAACTTGAGATGTCTCCGCCAGCTTCATCCTGCAACTGCAAATCCAGCTGGAAAGATAATTAAATAAAAGTCTGCTAATTTAATTTATATACGTTTCATTAACCATTTAACTCTAAAACAGAGGAAACATTTGGCTAGACCAAAAGGTTATGTTTAATTAATTCCTACCAACTTTCTCCAAAAGTATCTGAAAACGTTGTAATAAAGTAACAAAGAAAAAAACACGTTGACCGCCGCAGAAAAATTAAGGAGGGTTTTAACTTATAAACAACCTAATTGGATGTACGCAAATCAAAGGTTAAAAAAAGCTCTAACACCTTAAGGGATAAATTTGGTACTGAAGTAAGCATAGAGAACAAAAACAATTCATTGGAGTTTATGTATATAAGTATATAATAAAATATTATACCACTTAATAGTCCTTAAGGGACCCATGCAGCCTTGTTACATATAGATAGCGTTCACATGGAAATTTTTTTGTCGCTAATTATCGGCAAATTCTCTTTTGCTACATTGTTCATTTGTATGTGGGTATGGTGGTTTCATATTTAGCTTACAAGAAATTAAAATGAAAGTAGTAGAACAATATTTAGAACACCCGCTATTAGTACTTTCAAATCTTATGACGGAAATTTCCTAATCTATAGAAACTTTTAAAAAACCTGTAATTTTGTATACTCCAAATTTTTTGTAACATGCAACATGATATTCAAACTAAATCATTTGCGGTTAAAAGAAATAAATAGCATCTTAATATTTTATGTAAATATAAAAAAGTAAAAATAACTTCATTTTTAATACTGCTAAATGTTATTAAAAATTTAAATATCTAAATATCTTAATTTTATCCTTATTCACAGTTTTTCAAAATATTTTTACAATAGAGTTCGTGTGTGAACTGGGACTGAACGTGAGAGACTTTCAAGTTCGCTCTTTTGCTACCATATTTGCTTACAAATAGTTAGCATTTGCTTTGGAATTCTGACGGCTGACGTTTCTTGCTTCTTGGCTGACAGTTAGCTGTCAACGTAGCGTTGTTTGTTCCTCGCTTTGTGAGTAGCCGAGTTAGTTCGCTCACAAGGTCGCTTTTGACCGCAAGGCAAACAGACAAAGTGCTTGCTGCATGGGAGAAAGAGTGAGGGTCAAAATGAAATTTTGCTGCGTTGTTGTGTGCCAAAGTAAAAGTTTTCACATCTGCGCAGCAACAACAACAACCACAACTACCTGTGTCGCCTGCATTCATTTACAGTTACATCGAGGTTTAGAATTTCTACTTGTATTTATTTTATGCTGTTGCTGCCGCTTTTGCCATTATTACCGTTATTTTTATTATTATAGTTTTGCATTATTTACAGTTTAAATTTTGCAAGCCTGGATACAGTTATAGTTTGACATTGGGTTGTGACCAGTGGAGACTCCTTCGAATTGCAAAAGTTTCACAATTCTTCTTTAATTAAATGTAAATAGAAATGCTTGCGAAGAAGCACTCTTTAGTGGTTAGGGTGAAGTCTAATCCTTCGACTGGTGGCTACAGAGTCATTGGTTCAAATCACAAAACCTTCCTTCAATTTTGCCAGTTTTCCTTACTTAGATGAAACCTCGAGTGTTGTATTTTTAATAATTATTATATTAATTAAATTAATATCAAAAATATCGGTTATTTTTCACTGGGAACTTCATAATTAATTGTAAATTTATATTTTTCAGTAAATATAATTGCAAAAATTTATAGTCTTTGAAAACTGAAATTCGGCTATGTTCAAAGAGTGGTGCTTTGTATTCGATTGCGATTATTGGTCGTTCACTGTACAATTGTCCCTGCACTCGACGAACTTGCATTGATATTGGTTTCATTTGCAACGAACGCGAGTTGCCTTGATGCAAGCATTGTTATTGTATTTTGCAATTTAATTCAAGTTATGCGGATGACCGGGGAAAATTGCGTCTCAATCAAATGCTGCTATAGCAATATTGACACAACGTTGCATATCTTTAATGTAAGGCCAAATAAATTCGAAATTTAGTCACGACCAGTGTTGCACCAATGTCATTACATAACATAAAAATCCCGTGACTAATTTAATTTAAATATTGGAAAAGTTTTAGTTTTTTAAGCCTTAATTTCTAGATTTAAAAAATTAAATAGTATTCATACTTGTAGCCTATTAAGGCTTGTTAGCTAATCTGCTCGTGCCATACAAGTGGAATCGCTGAGTTCCCATCTCTAAGTATCGCTTTCTTTGCATGAATTGCTTGTGATCGCTGTGGAATTTCTTATTTTTAATGAAACTCTTCGTTTTCTGTTGTCTGAGTCCGACATATTTTAACGAACGGCTCTACAAAAAATAATGTTTGTGTGTGCCTTTGTGTGCTTATAAGCTTCTAGAGCGGTTTGCTTTGTAAAGTAAATCCTTTTCTCTAAACTGATATTGCCTGATTGCATCTTGAAGTTTCCTTTAAACCCCAAAGAAAAGGCGAAAGCATTGCTGCCGTCCGAGCAAATCGAGGAGTCTTCAATCGAATTCTAAACTCTGCAGTGAAAAGTGCTACCATCGAGAGGAAAAGTTGTAAAACTTTTGAAAGTTGTTGGCAACTCCCAACTATATATGACATAATTAAATACAATGAGAAAAATTGGGAAGCGCATACGTCTTTTGTATGAAATTAATGCAGCGTTTGGAAAAACTTTAAGGTGAACTTGGACACTTACAAATCTTTTAGATGCACTTGTTGGCATATATGTATATTATATAGTTATGTACTTATTGTCATATAGTTAGTACATATATCTTTTTCGCTTCGTTAGTATTAAATGAGACTTCAGTTAGATAAAACAAGCTTAAGAGGTTTCCAATAAATGATTTTTAACACAATTTTGTTGCTGTGAACGGTGTGGCTGCCTCCTCTGTCCTAAAATTTTTTTATTATCTCATATATCATCGTAAATTATATTAAAGCAATTTAAGATATAAGCAATTGTTACTAACATGCGGTCATAACAGTAAATAACGTTCAAATCAACCTTGCCTATCATCTCTCCCAAGAGAACGTATAAATTGCTGGGGCGGATATCCGGCTCTACTGACTTAATCCCACAGCTACTCAAAACTGCGCATACATGTGTGTATGTATGTATTTACGTACCGTTAAAAATGTGCTAAGTTTTTAGTGAATTCCAAACGACGTGTGCCTCTACTTCCATCACACAGTGCCCCAAAAAAGTGCGAGAGTATTTATATGAAATGACAAAGCGGCGAAATCATGGATTTAGCCAAGTGGGAAACACTCACTAAAAGGTGTCATGGCAGCACACACATTTGTTGTTATTTTTTATGCAGTATTCCAACAAGGTTATCTGCCCAATGGAGTTATTTGACCTCCGGCGCTTAAAAGCCACATTAAAAAGTCAGTGAGAGCAAATTAAATATTCAACAAACTCACACATAAAGAGAAGCATGTAAACACAGCTGGAAAAAGTGGATATCAGGGTAGAAAATAGTTCATATCTGAAGTAGTACGTAAGCCGAATAAGTCAAAATTGCAGAAAAAATTTTCCAGAAAGCCATTTTCGTGCAATAATTCCAGGTCCAAATATATTGAAAATTTTCAACAAAAAAGCTCAGGAATGACTGAATTATTTTTTTGATGTTAAAGTTTTCCCTTGAATATTTTCTTAATAAAGCTGAAGGCATCTCACAGTATTTTTTCTGTTTAAAAACCTCGAGAACTACTTTTCCCTGGCTGGGTTTTTCATTAATATCCTTCGGCAGAAGTAAATGGAGAAAGACATCTAAATTATTTCAATTGCACGCAAAAGTAAATCTTTAGAATATTGGAGATATTCTGCAGTTACTAAAACTCACATCACATTCATCAGCAGAAAGAAGCCAAATTGCTTGGTCGAGTCAAAAAATTAGACTTGCGTGTTCGACAAATGCACTTTTTACAAGAATAACCATACCTATATAAATATTATGTTTTTATATTTTATAGTACACATGGACGCCCCAATGAGTCTGGGCCGTCCATAGTATCACTTCCGTTAGTCGTCACGAAAAGTTTGTACGTGAAATATTACATTGCAATCATTTGCGCTGGAAAGCATGTGGATGCCAAAATATAAATTAACAATTGTGGCAAGAAGCTGTGTGAGAGGCAACCACAACATGTCGCAATTTTAACTTGAGCAACTTCGGTTTCAATCGCATTTGTTTTACGGTTGCAAGGAACACCCAAAATCAAATATTTCTGCCAAGTTTACGCACTCCGTTGGGGTTTCACGTATGCCTTTGTACGTCAGTTCCTATCGTGACGGCGCCACGGCGTATTTCCAAATCAAGGAGAGCTTACCAAAGATGCACTCCGAAATTAAAGAACTAATATAGTTTTGGCTTGTGCACATATTCGCCATAATTCGCGCTGTCGATTTGCCACCAATCGTCCATATTTATCAATTTCCCTGCCTCCGCGGAACCGCCGCGTGGCGCTGTGAACGCTGTTAGTGGCATAGTAAGTCAGGAATCGGTGTAGTGAAGTGCCTCACAAATGCAATAATCAGATTATCAGCCGAAGTGCATAAATAAATACCCACATGACTCTTGTAAGTGAGCATCGTCACTTACTTAAAGCAATTCTTAGCAGCCGCAAAGCAACCAAAAGCTTTCAGAGCGTCACTGCAACCTCAACTCTAGGGCAGTCAGTGCCTTTGGTAGTGTCGCAAAATTGATGTGGATCACTGAGGGGTGAGGGGGCTAGATTGTAATATAGATTCCGTGTGTTTGTTGTTGCAACTTAACTGCTTTTGCTTGAGCTATGGTTCACATGTTTGGTAATATTCGAATTTCGGTGATTTTTTTTGGTTATATTTGTAGAGGAATATCGAATAGTTCAGCCATTGTTGCCTTCTGTTTGCGCTTAAGTACTTTTGAGTGAATTACTGTAGTAGAGAACTTATTTGAAGAAGGCATGTTTATATGTGATCGCTCGGATTTACTTTGAAGAAAAAATATTTACTTATTCTACTTTCAAAAGTTCTCTGTAAGTCAAGACATTAGAAAAATTTGGTGTGCAGTGGGTTTCCTTCAACTACTTCTTGCTGCTAAAGAGAGAAATGCACTTTAGTTTGTTAAAAGTCGTTTTTAGGTTAGAGTGCAGTTTTTTGCAAATATTATATTTAATACTTCCTTTCTTCTACTGTTGTTGTTATTAGATGAGTTGCGAAAACGGATTAATATTTATGATTTTCATATGTAAAATGAAAGGGCAAAGATTTTAAAGTATTGTTCAATGATATTCAATTGCGGCAGATATAAATAATTAGTTGAACCACAATTAAAATTTAGATAAATTGTCCCATTTTCACTTTGCGATTTAACCTCTAAATTGGCATAAAACCAGAAAATAATTTGAAAATATCAAATTCTACGTCGTCTGTTCATAATGATGACACAGTAATAACGGTAATTACATTGATAACCATCGCGACTGGAAAAAAGTGTGAATCTATAGAAGAGGCAAGTGTGTAAATTGATGACTGCAGCGAGCAAATTAAAAAGCAATTAAATTAATTCCCCCAAATTACATCGATGAAATTGTTCGCGGCGTGTAAAACTCGTTTGTGGGTCCATTACTGGGTATCGTTTGTGCTTTGTTTACTTTTGTCACGTTAGAAATTTTATTATTTAAAACTTTGATGCTAATTAAATGAATTAGTTAATGTAAGTATTATTTGCGTTAAATTGTGTGAAAGCTCACCTGAAAGCCGTCATATGTCCAAGAGCCGAATTTCATTTCACAGCGCTGATCGTCGAATGGAAACCACGTGATGTCGATTTTGCAGGTGGACTTAAAAATTCCGGGCGGTACGTACAGACACGAGCCGTTATTCCGGACCACAACATTGGTGGCGTAGGTGCCGTCAAAACCCTCATCGGCACTGTGGAAAAGCAAAAGGTAAGAAGTTAGTTAGTAATATCCAGCTCATTAATTATAACCTAACAATAATGTGGAGTTAATTCCAAGAAAAATTTGAGCACCCCTGGAAATAGCGGGAAGTTCGGATAACTTCGACATCATACACATTCATAGATGTAACTTTAAAAATTCTCTAAAGCCCCAATAAGAGCGCTAATATTCGTCCATAAGAACCTAAGTTACTAGAAAGTGCGAACATGTGTTCAGTCTGAATTCTTCTTATTTTCTCGTCTCGAGTTGTGAGTGACGAACAAGGAATGTAATTGCTTCTTCAACAGAAAATAATAAAAAATATCAAAGAACAATAAAAGCAACTAACGAAACGTACAACAGGGATAAGAACACTACTCATCTCAATTCGCGCGCAACGAAAAATATAAGAAGAGACAACAAATTTAAAATAGCAAAAAGAAAAAACTGGTTGGAAACTAAAATAGTGAAATAATGTTTATACATCCGCATGTTTATATGGATGTATGTAAGTGTATAAGTAAACCGAGAGAAAGTAAGTACGAAGTGTGGAAGACAGGAAAAAGGTAATAATAACGGGAAGTTCATTTAGTGTGACCGACAAAAGTCGACATGTGAGTGACAGACGCAGAAGTGAGTAAGTGAAAAGTAAGAACAATTGTTGTGCGTGTATATACAATTGTATGTATGTGTGCACGTGGGTGAATACAATGCATCTAGGGGATATTTGTGTAAGAAAGTCAAGGTTTACAAAACTGAACAAAAAATAAACAGGAGGCAGAAAAGTCGCAAATTGCTGAAGATATGGAAATTGCGCCAAAAGTTGATAGCGGTGATCTGCTAGAACGAGAGAGAGAGTGAGAGGGCGCTGCGTACAAATTGCCTCTATTTGACAAGGCTCTGACAGCCATCATTCGTATACAAATTTACTAGGTATGTTTTTTGATAAATGGAGAGATAATAAACAATTGTATTTTGATTATTATTATTTTGCAACTCTTTTACACACGCCATTTCTTAGTCTATACAAATATTTATTCGACTTTAATAAGAATACCTCGAATTGAACCGAAGTCACAATTGTGCTATATATGTGGAATTTGTAGGTAAGGCAAAATGAAAACACTTCACAATTGCTTCACACAATCCGATATTTTTCGAAGCGCTGCAATGCTTATATTAACCTGGTTGTGGAAACATTGACGATTTATGTGTTATATCAGCGATGCGATGGTCCTGCAGTTATGTCACCGCAAAGTTGGGAAGAGGGAAGAGGAAAATGTAATAAAGTGTGTCTCGGAGAGGTAATCGAAAGCGCGGCATATTCACATGATTCTACGTACATGGAGAAGTACATAAACTCGTCCTCAGTTGGAAATATAAAAATCATGACTTTATTCCTGCTCGAAAATACTACAATCGTATAATTTTTTGAGTTTAACTCTACTCTTTTTATGACGTTTTTGAGGAATGTTTAGTTTTTCTTGCTGTTCTTAAAGGTGTATGGTATTTTTGTCGTTTAGGGCGAACTTACAATGACAAAAAATAAGAGCACTAAAGGAACACTTAAAATGGCATTGATGCGTAACGGATTATAACAATTTTGTTTCTGCAAGCGCGGCAGTGATTTAGCACATGCTCACAGTTTTTGCTTCGCTTTGAATGTGAGGATTAACACGACACAACTTTGTAGCCCCACTTCACAGATACAAGTACTTATGCGTGACCACGTATGTAGATTGTAGTGGTGAGTTTGCAAGTGCAACAACGAAACAATAAACACAATTAATGTCGATGTTGCTATCATCTCTCAATTCCCTGTTTCATGTCCGAAAAATATGTATTCCCTGAAACGTCGGAGACTATATAAAGAATATATGTATATGGGTCATTCCATCCAAAATTTATATACACATTTTTTTTCCTACAAAAGCTTTTTTTTTGTGTTCATTGAAACAAAATATAAGTCACATATTTTATTATTTCGATTCAACATGAAAAACTTTGGAGTTATGAATTTTCATTTCAACGCTCAAAAAAATACCTTTAAGCATTTGCGTATACGAAGAAAAGTATTTTATTATAAAATAACTAACCGGCCTCCTTAGCATTTTTTTCTTTCAGCTTTTCAATGAGATATGCGTGGAATTTTTTCGTGTTTTTTTTTTAAACAAAAGGTACATTTTTATAAACAAATAATTTTGTTTTCATTTTGAAACTGTTTTTATTCAGTTTTTTTTATGAAAACTTACTTATTTATAATTTTTGAAGTGGATCGCACAAAATTATAATTTTGACAATTTTTTAAACAATTTTGTTGGCGGCTAGCAATGATTTAAGGTACTTTATTCGAGCGTTGAAATTTTGAAAATTCACAACTCCAAAGTTTTCCACATTGAGTCGAAATAGAAATACGTGTCCAATAGTCCTTCAGTTTTTAAGCTATTGATCTGAAATTTTGCACCTGTTGTTTTCTCACAAAGAAGTTGCTCATTTGTCTGAACGGCCGATATCATCCCACTGTAGCATATAGCTGCCATACAAACTGAACGATCAAAATCACGTTTTTGTACGGAAAACTGTTTTATTTGTCAAAATATCTTGTCGAAATAGATTATTGCCTAGGCAACACTAAAACCTCTCAAAATGCTTTCAAATCGGATTTTCACAAAATTTGACATGTATTATTGTCCAATGCACCTATACAATCTCTAAAAACAATTGTTCAGATCGGACCTTTATAGAATATAGCTGCCTTACAAATTGAACCATCAAAAACAAGTTTTTCAGTTTTCAAAGTTTTTTCTTGTTTTAATTTGCCGGCTTTATTTTAACCGTAAGAAAATACACAACCATCAGCAGATAAAACAAATAAACCTCTGATTATATACATATGAAGTTGCACAAACGAACTCAAAGATAAACTAAACAACCAAAACAATAAAATGTTGAGCAAAGTTACTGTAGTGACCTGCATTGAGCGGCGTGGGCCTTGAGTATGCCTCTAGGAATATATGAAATAAGCTTTTGGTGGAATAATTGTCGCACCCGGAGGATTAGTTACTGAAGCGCTGAAGGCAGCTCGGCAGATGGCACAAACAGCATTAGCGAGTGCAACAAGCACATGCAGAAGCTTTTTTATTGTCTGCGGTCAGGCTAAGAAGATAATGCTTAAGGCTAATTTGTTAGAATGTTCTTTTGTATGTATATATGTATGTTTGTTAGTATTTGTACACTTTTTTCGAAAAATGTATGTCTTTGTTGGGCTATTTATCCTATATGACTCATCCGCAGACATAAAAGGCCTTTTTATTACCTGTTTGTTGTTGTTAACACTAAGACATTGTACTCACCTGTTATACATGAGCACATCCGGTTTCCAAAGTCTGTGTGGAGGAATGCGCAGATCCCGTACACCGCCATACTCGCTTGAGTTCCAACGCAAGTTCATATCATTCCATTCCTAAGCGATAAAACAGAAGCGCTGTATTATAGTTATAGATGAAAACTCTTTCTTTAAATTTTAATAATCTTCAAAAAGCTTTTGAGATTATTTCTGAGTTAGAAATGCTTTCCAGTTTTAAAAGAATTAACTAATAAGTAAAATAAAAAAACTTTAACGGCGACTCGTGGATATATTTTAAGGTAAAAGCTGTAATTTAATAGAAACGAAAAAACATTTACTATAACGGCTTCTAGTGAGTTTAAAGCTCAACATCCTTGCAACTCAATTATGTTCGCCAATTAATGATTTATTTTATTATTATTCGTTGTTTCAGTGTCGGCTACATATGGATTCCTAATTTCCGAGGAAAACAATGTAATGTGTAATATAATAGAATTGCAACAACAATCGAACACTTTTATTTAAGATCCGTTAAGCTGACCTAGTTTTGGCAAACCGTTATTAATAGTGCAGTGTTGCATTGTTTGCTACGCTAAAATACAATTTCCTAAGTACATGTGTTGCCAGAAGTAATCAAAGAGCATTTGGCGCAACCGCCAAGTCATAAGCAGTATGCAAAGCGGACAAATTACTTGAACGAACTTATGGAAAAATGGAAATGGGAACAGTACTTAGTTTTGGTTACTTTTAGCCATTAATTTAGATTTCAACGAATGTATAGTATTTACACGAGAGCGGGTTCGACGAAGGCTCTAATGGTATATGAATGATGATAAGCAATGAGAGAAATGCTTCAGAAGAGCCTTAAATGGGAACTTCGTTGAGAAATAAGCAGTTTGCGACCAGCACTGCATTAGAGGCGAGATTATTTTCATGTTGTTTTTTCTTTAATTTGAAGAGCCTGAAATTTTATTTTTATTTCGAACTAATTTTTTTGTGTCCAAATGGAAACGGCTGCAAACCATTGATGGGGAGGTAAGCAAATGTGAAACTCCTGAGTATATAGACACGCTTTTCTTCAACGGTGGGCAATATGAGGCAAATATGTGCATATTTCTGTAATTGGGAACGAAAAACGAGGTTTCCAATTTCCGCAATGAGCAATTTTAGCAAAGCAAACGAAAATAAAGACTCGCCAATATGGTTGAACAAATAACCACCACTAGAACAATAATCCAAAGAGACAAATTACAGGAAGGCAGTATTGCAAGCTGAGTGATGGAAATCATTTCATTTCGTGAGTTGCGGCAAAGGAGTGTCGGATGTTGACGGCAACGAAGGAACGTGACTGAGAAACTATTATAGATGGAACCGGCGTATCGGATTAGGTCTGCAAGGCAGAGGAAATTTCTAAAATTTCACAAACGAGCGGCATCACCCATTGCGCTCAATTCATATATTTGGCACACAAAACGAACAAGGCGACTTCAAGAATATACAACATGCATACAAGCAGGTATACGGACGGGTGCCCCATTGGCACATATGCCACATTTCGCTTTGCTTGTGTGCAATTTACAAGCCATAATTCATAAATGAGTGATCGGTAATTGTGGAAATAGGAAAGAAAAGAAGAACAAACTCGTTGTTATAATTGTTGTTGTTGTGGGAATATTAAAGTAAGTGGTTTGTAAGTGCGAAGAGCTAAGTAAGCTGCACAAACACACTTACATCAATCATTCATCAACAGTTACAGTTACAAGTACACGTAAGTGACAAGAAATTAATGTTACTCATACGCACTGTCACACCCCCTCCCGCCCATTCACCGGAGCTTAAAAATATGTTGTCTTGAGTTACAACAAAGTAATTGCTTTTGCATTAGGGAAGGAGGGCGGTCATTTAAAAGAACATGAATTACGTTTCTAGGCGACGTTTCTTGAGAGTGTGAGTGCATTAAAACCAATTTCATCATAAAACTCGCTAAAAGCTGCTTTGCCGTCTAAGTGAATTGCTGATTTGTAACTGAAACGTTATTGAAATTGCTTGTTTGTTTCTCCCTTTGTTTTCTTGAATTGTCTTCTTCTTTTCGATCCACTTTTTCGTTGAACACTTTCTCTTCTTGCTTGCTATTTGAGTTGTCACTCTTCGTTATATCAAATATATGCAAGGCTTACCAGGCGAGAAAAAACTGAACACTTGGACGTAAACATCAATTATCTTCGTGTATCTGTCTTTGCTAGTCAATCTTTATTTTCAGGGTTTTGACATTTTTATGCTTTCCCTTTCGGATGATACTGATTTGGATAAGACTTTGATATTTCCACTGCGTGTTAATTACACACGTTTTCTTAGTCTTATCTTCCAGTCACCTCCTACGTAGGTGAAATTTCATTAGAACAAAAAAAAGTCTTCTATTAAATAATCTGCTTTTATTTAGGTTTATTGTCTTCTGTTTGGTACCGCCGATATCGCCCTTACATCATATAGCTGCCATACAAACTGAACGATCAAAATAAAGTTCTTGTATAACAAACTTTTTTTTTATTCGTGAAGGGTATTATATCTTGATGCAACATATTTTTCAACAGTTCAAATCTAGAGCAATTGAATATTGAGTGAGTCTGTGACCATATAAGAGCAATTATTTAAGCTTTAGCAATGAGTTTTATTATCCACAGGAAAGACAATAAATTTGGGGCACAAAGCCCAATAAGAAAGCGCGCCATAAAAAACAATGTACAGAAAGTAAAATACCACAACGCACTATAAATTGAACCGTATTGAATATTGCTTCTTACAAATACAAATTCCTATTTCTTTCGCCGCTCGAGCCGAAATTATGTATATTTGCTGTCTGTCCGGCAGTTTGTCTATAATAGTTGTTGACATTACTCCCTGGACAGAAAATGTGCCGGCGCTGAAGATTAATGCGTCTCTAATCGAACTATGTGACGCTCGGGCATGTCCAGATTTGCATAAAATTTGTGCTTCGACCAGCAGACGCTCGCAACAAACGAGCGACTAATCGAATCTCTCCCTTTTGCTTCGGTGGAATTTGCTTATATTCATTTTACTGTGTTTTATTTATATAACAATTTGTTATTTATTTTCTATTTTCGGCTTTTATTCATTTTCGCTTAATTCGGTTTAGCTTTGTCTAACGAGTGTGAATGTGTTTCATGACTGATTTTTGTTATTGTAGTGTGTGACAATATTTGTCGTATTTACTGTTGTTTTGATTCCCAACTTACCAATTTGAGCCAAATATTTGTTATGAGCAATTGATTTTTCTCATCCTGCAACGAGAAAGATCACAAATAAAATATCGGTTAGTATTAAGGCTAAGCATTTGTCGATGGTATGTATAAATGTATGTCAACACTATTTATAAGTTTGATCTTATGTAATACACACAATATAATAAGTAAGTCGACTGTGTGGAGATATTTCATATGTACTGAGTAAAGAATTGCAATTATATTAGTCAACTCCTTCCAAAGCTACTCAGTACTCTCATTATCGATAAAAATAACGAAACTTTCAAAATCGACCGCGATGAAAGCGTTGAAAGCATTTGAAAGCCACTGGAGCCATTGAAACCATTTAAACAAGTCTGGATACCAAAATAAACTGAATGTATGGGTGTCATACGAGTTATAAAATAAAAAATCATAGAACCAGTTTCTATCTGCGAATCTCCTGGTGAATTAGTTTACTTACAATAATGTGAAGAGAAAGTGTTTGGTGGGATTGGCCGGGAATCATCTACTCTGAGCAAGATATTAATTTGGACCAGAACTTTTAATAATTCGACCGTTTAAATTTGATTTGAGATTAATTATTTTTCTTTCGAAGTTTATATGACAGGATTAGCCGAGTGAATCAGATTTGACAGCAATTAAAACGAATTGTCATGCATGTCAAAATGAACGGAAAATTAAATATTTTATTTTAACTTTTTATTTAAACTGTAAAAAATTCCTTCAGAAACCTGAACCACAAAACGATTGTGCAATTAGCCCGTAAATTAAAAACGACTAAAATGCTGAAGGGCACGAAATCACATATATATATATATACATATATACACTCTCACGCATTCATACGAAATGTACAATATACAATATGGCAACTCTCGGACTTTGTGGCTTTAACGTTGCCACAATGATTTTCGCAAATAACCGGAAAATTTCGGCCGAAAATTGTTTGTGCGCTTTTTGATTTGCTCTCAGCTCAGTTGCCTTCTGTTGTTGTTATTGCACAAGCTCGCGAATAATTGCGGCACAAAAATCGTTAGCGTCAACAAAAATTGCTGCTGCAAAATGTTTGCAAATTACCGTTGTTGGCGTGCTGTAAATAAATAAACGCCAATAACAACAACATGCTCGTTTGCTTTGGCGTTGACAATATTTTCACAAAACATGAAGCTACACACGCTTTGGGGAATTCACGTTTGGAGCAGTTTTGCTGTATTTGAAGCTGTTTAACGGAATCAGATTCGCAAATTTTTATACATTTTTTAGTTTCACTAATTTGACATTTGTTCAATTCAATTTGTCACTTTTAGCTTTCGTGTGTTGGTGGTGACATTTTGTACAAATTTATCGGATTGTTGTAGTTGGCCATTTAAAGTGTCAAAATGAAAATTTAATTACTTAATTATTTAAATAATATCACAGTCATAAATATTATTTTACATAGAAATTAGTCTGAATTCATAATTACGTAATTAATCACTATTCTGGGCACATACACATATGTATGAGGTTGGACGTTGATGTACGTTATGTAGGTAAAAGAATGAGCTCCTGGCTACTTGACAAATCTTTCATCACAATTTTATCATATAGTATTGACCAGGTCTTCTGTGAAGGACTCACAAGTTAATACATAGCTTGCCTTTAGGGGCATAGGTACGTCTCAGAGAATTGTATGCGTATGAAGCTAACAAAAAAATTTCTTAAGTACAAAGAGTGACAACCTTTTCTATTTCTTTTCCAATTTTTGCAAAAGTACCATATCCGATTCTTTGTAGCTCGAGAGTTTAAATTTTGAAATTAAAATAAAAAAAGCAAGGATTTTTGAAATGCTTTAACTTATTTTGCTTGGCATTCTGCTTGACTGCGGATTTTAACTTTGTGTTTTTCTTTATTGCGCAGCTAATTATATAATGGTTGAAACTCGGTATGCTGGTTGGCAAAATGTTGGTATAACTCACATATTATGTTTTTTTGGCATATCCTCAAGAGACTCTGCGATTTGTATACTTAAAATTGAATCAGAAATATCGAAAAACTCATAAAAAAAAGAATCAAAACAAAATAAAATTAATTTGATATTTAATCGCTTTATATTACTTTTTATTTTGTATGGATTTCAAAGTTGGGTGGAAACAGCTTGATTGGCGATTGCAGTTGTTGTTTGAGAAGCCAACTTGTTACAATGGACCGTCTGTGTGTGTTCAGTGGAGAGTCGACGTGTGTTCTTGTGTTGTGAACTCACATTCACCCATTCGCTGCTGAGCACTTGAAATGCCAGAATGCTGACTTCATAAAAATGAACAAGATTATAACAAATTCTCAACTAATAATTTCAATGCAAATATGCAAAAAATGAAAAGGAGTGGAGGTCTCATGCAAGTGAAGAATTCAGGCGGATATTCCTCGTGGGTAGGTCCACTGGTTTTTGTGAAAAATTTCAAACTCATTTACCCAAAACACTTGAGTTGCCTTGAAGCACTGACGAATTCCTGTTGCATTTAATATTCAATCTGGCAAAAATATCTGCTGATGCAAAGAAGTAATGGAATTGCTGGGGACTTCCTTTCTAATGATATTAAGAATAATTTCGGGGTTGTGAATTATTGTATTTTCTGCGATAATGTTTTTGCACGTCTTACAACTCGAGTTTGTTTAGGAGTGCATTTCTACAAGTATACTGTTGTTGTGTTTCAAATAAGAAAGTTTGTTGAAGGCAAATAAAATTAATTTTCTAAGCTGGCGAGCATTGTTTGGCACAGTAAGTGCAGAAATTACGTTACGTCATCATTTTTTTTGCTGAAAGTAATCAAGTAGCAATTAGTCGAAAGGGTTTAGAGCTATTTATTTTCTTTATTTTGTAAGTTATTTGGTCCATGTTTTGCCTCTATTTTCGCATAACGCAATTGTGGGATTGTGGTCTAGTCGCTCCTATCCTTTTTATTGTTATTATTGTTGTGATGGCGTAGAATGCCTGGAAGTTGCATGACAAGTTTTTCAACACTTTTTCATTTAAATTTCACCGACGACTTGCTCATTACATTTGTTATGCAACGCAACTCATTAGAGACGATCCGCTGCATAAAACTAAAAACCGAGAAACGACAGCAAAGCAATGAACGATAAATACTAGGCAAGAAGGGGAAATGCAATAAGAAGCATTTAATTCTGTTCTGAGCGTCAGCCATCACAATTTAAATAATATTTTTATTTTGGAAAGAAATTACTCAACTAAAACCCATCGCGCCGAATGCCAAGTACAAAATGTCCGCGCCAACTTTCATGCAATTTACTGGCTAAAGTAAAGTGAAAATGGCAACAGAAACGCTTCCTTATTAGATACTTTTCTTATTTTGCGCGTTTCCATTGTAATTAGTTTTATGCCGCTGCATCTTTGTTTTTTGGTCAGGGGACACGCCTACTTGCGCTCATACCACTTAGTTGACCGTTTCCCGGTGCAATGGGGCGTATGCGTAACCTTCGAATGCGTTGCTTTTTGCCAGTAAACGACGAAAAGTTGCAAACGATGAACATCCCGCATAGGTTTTCATATGGCTTAACACACACACAAACACGTTCCTTTTCTCATATAAAACAAATTGGCTTCACCGCTGAGCGTGTTGGGTCATTTCCGTTACACTGACCGTTGTGGTAGCGGAAGTGTGGGAAGATGGACCACCACCGGGGATGCAGGGTCACGTGCCGCTTGGCTGTGGCTTTGTTTTGCAGTTGGTTTATTTTGATTTTACGTCATTCATAGTTGTGACCATTACCTCGCTCTGGAGCTTGTTATCGTTAGCACTGCGCAGGTAGACCAGTAACAAAAACAAACGCTGTTAAAACGATGGCAGAGCGGCTGATTGGTGGTATTCATTTGATTTTACTTGTACAAAGTGAAGCCCCAAGGTTTTTTTGTATAGTTGAATTGGTTGTTTTAGTAATTGCAGTAGTGACCACATATGCAGCGGTGGTTGTTTGTATCTTCATTGATAACAGTTAACATTTGAAACGGTATAGTGTGCGTATTCAGTTTTCATAAACGATTTTAAAGTTCAATTGCTGAACGTTTTCTTTATGCTCAATCGTTATACAGATTGCTGGAAAATTTAACCTAAAATATAAATAAACACCCCTAGGCCCATTTCCAGTTCTTTCGTCCGTAACTCAATGGAAAAAAATGCAGATACAAGCCTTTTTGGTTCTGAAAAACCAAATTTTTTGTTAAATTTTGCTCAGCTTACCATTTTAGCATTTATTCAAGTGTGAACAAACCAGTGGATTCTCATAAATCAAAATCGTACACATTCATATATCGGTGGCATTCCTTTATCAAATGGCTTAGCTGGAAAATCCAAAGTGTGAAGTTGGCTTGAGCATTGTGTACACTAAAACAAAGCCAAACCACAAAGCAAGGAGCTGTGAAAGCGCAAAAATATAAACTAACAAAAAAAGATTGCAGTATGTGAACCTCTTTAGGTGTGTGGTTTAAGATCGGAGCCTTATTCACTCTTACCTGGTCAGTTGGCAGGAAATGAAATGGTGGCAGTTTGATACAAAAGGAATTTTTGCTGCTTATGATATTCTGACGCATGAAAATGTGCTATGAAGGAATTTGAAGCTTGGAAAATGAGAAAAGGAATTTTCAAAATATATAAAACTAAAGCAGCAATGACCAGGAGGTAAGACCACTAGCATTATATTACAGAAAGACAAGAGGCAGCGTCCTCTCCGCGTGAGCATGGAAAAAAATAAGGGATGTTGCTTTTGTCTGTGTGTTATTATTGCAGTTCCAATGTCCTATTTTGTGCCGTTACTGCTCAATGTAGCTACAAACATGCCACAATGATCCTTGGACCAGACGAGATAATGCAAAGTTCAGCTGGATACTGAAGCCAAGTATTTTTTTTTTTAATTTTTTTTTTTTTTTTAAATTAAATATTTCGGAGTTTGGCACAAAATGTGGAAAAGGCTGGTATTAAGGAGAATAAGATAAAAGTGAAGTTAAATAAGCACTGACATGTGTACGAATACAGAATATT